CTGTCAGAGATGCAGAGTGGCAATTTTTCCCTCTGTGAAAATGAAGAATGTTTATTGATGGCATGTAAGTGGTTTAGTTTAGCGAGAGTTCTGATGGATGAAGAGTAACAAGGTTCTCAGGCACTGAATATACAGTCTCTTCTGATCCCTTGTTTTTAGTGCTTCATTTTTAATGTTCTATTTTTAAACACCTTGAAATACAAAAATATTTGCTTTTTTCTCCAGTTAAAAGGAAACCCATGTTGTGACACAGCATGACTCTGTCTTTTTATAGCTACATCAAATACGTGTTGCTTAGGATAATGCAAGAATATACAAACAATAATAAAGGCAAAAAATAAGAAACCAGCAGTTGCTACTGTAACATAAAGTGGAGGGCAGCAAAAGTAAATTCTGTAAATAAATGTCTTATCAATACTTACTCATTCTATACAAAACAATGATCTGCTGTAACCATACTATACTGCCGGAACCAGAAGTAATGCAGGAGGCATAGACAGTATTTAGTACATAGAATATATTTTGCATCTCCCTTCTTGGTATTGATGTAGCAGTTGTGTTCATCTGTTAATGGCTGTTCGGGGACACGCTCAGAGTGAGAGCAGAGTGGATTTTGAGGTTATTTTGGGGTTCCCGGGTGCTGGCTGTTCAGGTGTGTTGAGGTGCAGAGTGGATTTTGGGGTTCCTGGGTGCTGGCTGTTCAGGCGTGTTGAGGTGCAGAGTGGATTTTGGGGTTCCTGGGTGCTGGCTGTTGGGGTGCTGGGGTTGCAGAGGGGGCCCTGCAGCCCGAGGCAGCCATGCCCACTCCTCAGGCTGCGGCTCGGGAGCAGCACGCCCCGAGCTCACGGGGTCAGCTTGTGACTCGTAAATGTTATTCTTGTCAGTGCAGAGCAGATCTGATTTTGAGCCTAAAACAGCAAGCAAATGAATAATAACAGCTGACAGCAGTGTGGTACACGCCTTTAATTGCAGCCTTGCCAGTGCAGCCTCCACTCCCTGTGCAAGGCAGACGCTGGGGTTGGGAGCCCAGGAAGAGCCTGGGGGAGGCCTGGCAGCCAGGTTGTTCTGCGCTGGTGTTTCCACTTCTGTGGTTTTCAGCAGCCTGTTGAGATGTGTTTTTGTTTTGGGATTGGTTTTTTGTTTTGTTTTGTATTTTTCCTAATCTGCCAAGCTCATCTTTTTCCAGCTGCTCAGGCGTTGTTAGTGCTGACACAGACTTTTATTTGCTTACTTCAGTACAGTTAGATCACACCTTTCAGTGAGAAAACCTAAGAGAAGCCAAGTAGCGTCTGCTGACATCTGACCTGCAGGCTTGGCCCGGGGCTGGGCTCTCACAGCTCTGACCATGGCCCAGGGAGCTCTGTTGGAGTTACAGGTCCTGGCTGTGGGGCAGCTCTGCCAGCCTTGTGCTGCTGGCTCTGAAGAACCCGCTGGGAAAGGACACAAGGCAGGCCAGGAGAGCTGGCCTTGAATCTGATCGATCCGTCTGGAGAGGGGTGGAGGGAGAAGTGCTCTGGACAGCAGAGGACAATTAGCAGCTGAGCGAATTAGCACGAGTGCACCCTGCAAAGCAGGTTCAGGTGGACACCAGGTAACTAGCTCAGGTGTAAATTATCTCCAGACTGGAGTGCTGCATTTTTATCTGGAGGATGGAAAGCTCTGACAAAAAAAAAAAAAAAGTGTTTGAATTCTCAAGAAATATACAGTAAGAACAAATCATTTGTGTAACTTATAAGCATATAGCCTTGACCTTTGGGAAATACGCAGCCTGGAGTAAGATGAAGAGTTGCTTTTATTACCATTATGATGTGAAGTTTTTTCAGATGATTGATTATAGGAAGATTTTTTTAATTGCTTTTTTTTTTATTTCAAAGCTCTGTTAAAAACCAGTTAGTGGTTAGCTGGACATGGTTATAGTACCAGTTGGAAGTGACTGAAGTTGCTGAATTCAAGTTAGACTCTATAGCCATTGCTCATGTTTGGAAGGACAAGAACTTGGGAGTAGGTGGTGTCCTCTAGACAAAACACTCCCTATTTTGTTGCCCAGACAAAGAGGTGATAGCCACTGCACCTTGCCATCCCACTGGTGTTACTTCCTGGAGAAGGAAGAGTGAGAGCAAAACTTAACCACGGCTGGTCAGGCACTACTAAAGCTTGGGCTTATTTGTAGATCCCGGGGGAAGTCTGACAGTAATCTGGTGGTGATTTGCTGCTTCTCTGCACATTTGAATGTAAGGCTGTGTTTTGAAAGGAAAAGGATAATTCTAAACTACTACAAAACTGCCATTTAAATTGAGTTACAATTTTAATGTGAGCTGCTCAGTGCCATGACTGTCAGCTGTCTTCTATGGCACTGCTTTACTGGGTATTTAGGCTGCTGCCTGAGTTAAAGCTCTCTGTGGTTTGCAGTGCCTCTGTGGTGCTGTGGCTCTCAGCCGTGGCTGCTGCTGTGATTGGGGCAGGGCAGGGGTGCAGGGCAGGGCTGCTGTCTGGGGAGCTGGGCAGCCCTGGCACTGCCCTCTTGCTGCCCTGCTTTGGGGAAGAACCCTTTGGCCTGGTGCTGTGTGTGGCTTAATCACAGTCAGCAACAGTCAGTGACTTGCATAAAGCTGCAGTTTTGCAGACAGTTGCACATTTTCTATTATCCTGTGGCTTTGCAAGCTTTGTGCTCATTGAGCTCACTGGGTCTGATGCCATGGCTTCCAAAGGGAAGCTTGATTGTTTTCCCAGTCTCATTTCTTACACGTTTTCTGTAGCTTACTCCATTATCTGATACTAAATCACATTCTGTATAGCTTTGTGAACAATCTCATTATCCATATTTATTTTGATACTGTACCTTTTTGTCTATCCTTCCAGTTCCTTTTTCCAGGTTTAATATCACAAGTAGCTGATGAATACATTGAAGGAAATTATGCTTCTCCTTTGGATTTCTGTTTTCTCCAAAAACCCAAGCTTCAACTAATATTTTCAGTCATATGTTTTATGACAGTTTAAAAATTGATTCTTTGGTTTCTCAGTGCTTCAAGATCATTGTTTCTACTGTACAGATAGAAAATTGACAAGGTTCACACAAGCTAAGCTAGTTTAAAGTTACTATTTTATTGAAGCTCATGCTTCAATACTTGTGGAGTGCTGGTGGATGTTCAAGCAAATTGCTGAGATTGTGTTTTCAGACATATTTACCTCTGCTGCACTATATTTGAAAGCATTCTTTTGGTTTAAGTTTGCAACTGTTCTCCGCTGGTGTTAGCAGTAATGGATCTCCATCAGGGTAGCAGTGGCTGGAGATTTAAGAGAAAACACACATAAAGCCTACAGCTTCTGTGCTGTCTGCAGTAGCAGGGTTGAGTGGAAGTTAATTTAAGTCGAGGTAAAAATCTAGTTGGTCATTAAGCTAAGCTGTAGGACTGCTGGGGCACTTGGTGTTAGTACAATTGTGTGGGTCATTTGCTCCTGCAGAACTGTGTACACACAAAAGTTGCCCCTCCGTAAGTTACTGATGCCCCATTTCAAAATACCAATGCAGCTGAAGCGTTCAGAGTACCTAGATTTTCTTCTTTAAAGTTTTTGCAGAATAAAATAATGCATATACTTTAGCATAATAAATTGCTTGTATCCCGGTGAATGTGACTTGATCCTGGATAATGTACACCAGAGCAGTGTAGTTAAATCACATTGTTACAAATTGTAGAATAAGAATAAGGGGAATTTGCAGAATTGGCATTTTGTTGGCCTCATCTTCTTTGACGGCGTATTTGATCACTTCTCAGGGTTAAATGTGGTAATTCCACCATCATTAATTTCAGTATTGTATAAGCAAAAATTAAGTAGAAAAAGGGAAGATATTAGAACTCCATTAGCATTGTCTGCTAGGCTGTAGAAAATAGGTTTGGGTTTGAGGAGCAGATTTATAGCTGAATTAATAGCCTCCATGTCGACTGGATTTAAATCTGTTTGTGGGTGTATCCATGGAACCAAACTACTGTTCAAATCAGCTGGAAGAAAAACAGATTTTGATTTCAAGTGGTACAGCATGAAATGTCACATGTTTTAGTACTATCCTGAAATAGTAATCTCTAAGTGTGGGGAGAGAGTATCTATTTAGATGTCACTTAAGCATGGTGACTAACTGATCAAAAGGGACTGTGAAGACATGCAGCCGACAAGCTGGGGTACATACTTTGCAGAACATCCCTGAATACTTAACTGCAGCAGGCTCACAGCTTACCTCCCAGTAACAGCTGATGTGCAGCTTTGACTTAAAAGACTGTAAAGGATGAGGAATTCACTGTGGTGATGGTAATTATCCTCACTGCTAATAGTTACAATGTAGGAGTGTAATTTTTGCATCCTTAGGTTCCAATAGCTGCATCTCAGTTAAAATAATTGGGTTTTTTTCCTACTAGATTTAAAAATGTCTGCCATCTGAAATCCATTCTGTGTGTAGGTGGTCACAAAACCCCATGGAATTACCTTCTAGTTTTGGAGGGCAGTGCAATTCTTCAACAGTGCAGAGGCACGTCAGCTGACACCATTTGTGTGTGCTTTCATAGAATGCCTGGATCAAGGAATAGAATTCAACGAAAGAAAAACATTTGGAAAGTTGGAATTTGAATAAAGGTTTTCAGCTACTTAGTGCTGATGAGAAATGTAGTAACCTTTGTGATGTTCTCTGTGCTTTCCTGCAGGGCAGCAAAGGACACTACAGATACCACTGGCAGAGCCACAATGTCAAGCACAGCGGAGTGGATGATATGGTCCTGCTTTCCAAAATCACTGAGGATTCCATAGTGGAGAACCTAAAGAAACGATACATGGATGACTATATTTTTGTATCCTTTGCTGGTTTTTGTGGAGCCCCATGGCCTTGCTGAGCCAATATGACACTAATTATGTCTATGCATTCCTTTTAAGCAGAGCACTCGAGGATGCTGAACGCTTTATGTGACACTTCACCTGGGATAACAGAAAAGGCTTTCAATACTCAGCTAATTATGAGGGTTGAAAATAAGATAGCAAAACATTATTTAAGGTATTCTTTTTAATATGTTGAAGATTTTACCTCCATGTATTTATACATTCACGTGACCCCTGAAGCCTCCTGAGGTAATGCTACTTCTAAGAGCAAGAATTAATAGGTTTTAAGTGGGAGTACATTTATTGATGTGTTGTCTTCTGTACCTCCAAAATTATAACGCTTTCAAATTAGCATTTCTTCTGTGGCATAACCCCGTTTACAACTTATTCTGGAATTGTTAATATTGTGAATCATGAGATGATGGAAACAGATGACTGTGTCAACATCTGTAAATCTTCAGTGTTCTCACTTAAATTTTTTCTATGATTAATGAAAATGTGAAAATCTAAATATCTGAACCTGCAACCTAACAGGAATAGCAGACTTCAGTGCCCAAGGCTTGCTTTGCTAAAAAAATTTCATAGGAAAGCAGCTCCTTAAGATAAGAATAGTCACTATTGCATTTTCAGCTTTCACAGTGTAACATGAGCTTCAGTAATGAATTTGGTAAATGCTAGTCCGTGCTTATGTATTAAAAACTTATGCTGCTCCTTCTGCTTTAGCCAGGTTTTCATACTTCCTAGTTATATCTGGAGAATGGTTTCTTGAAGAATTTAACATACTTTATCAGAAAGAAGAGGAAGTATAAGATCTCCTGGCTGTTTCCATATATTCAGATGGTCAAGAGCTATGTAGCAGCTCAATTTAGCAAGGACTGAAAGAAGAAAAGTTCATGTTGCAGTTGTTTCCATCACAAACTGCAGAGGTTTCTAATATGTGTGTGAACATGGGTTTAGATCCTCTGTTCACTCAAGTTCCACACTATTATTAAAATTGCTTTATAGGAGCATGACGAAGTTGCACAGTATTTGCCAGACTGTAGTACAGGGATAAGCTGTAGAATCCTTCCTGTAGTAACACGAGTGCTTTTGGCCCATGGAGTGCTGGATGTTCCTTGCAGTGTGTGCACAGAGACTTCAGTGCTCCGTGCAGAAGAAAGTTTTCTGCTTTTTCTTTTTATGAAAATAGTGAGATTGACATGGAGATGATCTTTCTGCTGAAGCCAGAATAAGAGTGTTTCCAAGGGGACTAGTGGTCACATTGAGGGATCAGTCTTCCCTCATGGAGGGATAAGAACTCCTTTTGCAATTCTGTGAAGGCTTTTCATTCAAAGCTGAAGATCATCTCTTGAATATTTGAATTGTTTGCATGTCCACCCATGAATGAACATTTCTCAGTGCTACATTGTACAGAGATGACGGAATCATTCCAGAAAAGGCTGGTATTGTTTACCAACAAAACTGTTATTTCAAGTGTTTATACTGACACAATGAGTAATTGATCTAGTATATCCAAGATCCAGATGTTGTCACTCTTTTTGAATTAAATTAAAAATGTATGAAGAAAGCATTGCAAATTGATATTACAGAAATTATGTTCATTGAATTATAGTTCTTCTCTAACACGTTACCTTTAGTGCCTTGGCAGCATAATAGGAGATTCCTACATAAGACAATCCAACAGGATAGATTTGTTAATTTTTATACTTTGTACAGAAAGCTTGAATAGCAAGCTTGCCTATGAGCAGTTCCAGATTGTTAATGAAACCTGCACTACAACATTTTGGAGCCATAGGTGTAGGCTCATTGCTAACTCCCAGCTCAATGAAAAGTGATACTGATATCTGTGAATTACTCTCAGGTGCTTCCTATGTGTACATTGCAGCTGTAGTTCCAAAGGTTTATGAAGTATTTGAAATGCAGAGCATGTGCAGCTGAATGCAGAATGATGAAATACTATATTAAAAATGTTGCAAAAAGCCTAATAATAACTTGAAGTTGAGTGGCTTGGTACAGGGCAGCCTGCAGGAGAGGACTCCAAGGGCCTGTTAATAATTTTTCTCATAAAGTAACACCACAGACTGAATTACCCAATTCCCTCAGCACCCCCCAGTGCATGCAGCTGAGTCGTTGTCTCTTTTAGCTCAACAGTGGCTGTTCCCATCCAGCTCTCCTTGCTCACACTGTCCTGTGAGATCAGAATGTGTCCCTGCACTGTATTCTGCAAAGGTCAAAACAATATTTTCTAATGCTTACTATACAACCTCTTCAGTTACAAAGGACTAAAACCAGTTCAAATATGCCATTTTCTTTCTGTATTTTTATTCAGGGTGTGTCATGTTTTGGGCTTTTAATGTTTCTGTACTTAACTTGTCCTAAAGTAAGATAATACAAAAATATTCCAATTGAATGGTATGTTTATATTCTTGTAAGCCTGCTAAATTTAATTTTTATTAAATCGTTGTAAGCTGTGGTGGTTTTTACTATTGTTTGAAGTATTATGTAATAGGTGGAAAAAATCTTTGTCATTAGTAGTAAAATGATGCTTTATGAAACTGTTACTACCTTAACTTCTGTTGAATGCAGACATACATTGGCTCCGTATTAATCTCTGTGAATCCTTTCAAGCAAATGCCATATTTTGGAGAAAAGGAAATTGAAATGTACCAAGGAGCAGTAAGTAAAGCAGTCTAAAATATTGTGCAGTATGTAGGGGCTTGGAAATATTACTCTACACAGTTTAACACTGGGAAGTGTTTGTTTCTGGGTTTGCTGGCATTGTGCTGGCCTGGGAGAACTTGGCAGATAGTCACTGCCATAGACTGAGTCTTCAAACTGAACTCCCTGCAATGTAAGATCAGTATTTCAAGAGAATACTTGTATTGATTAGCTCTAATCTATATCAGGCCTCTCTCCTTGACATGTCCTTGCTTCTGCAAAGGCAGTTTTTAAGCTGTCATATACACAAAATGGCCAATAGTGGATTTGGAAACTGACTGCAAAAGTCTCTAAATGGACAAGAACAATAAAAAAAGTGAGGTGCCAAAATTCACTTTTGAAAATACAGCTTGAAGAGTGAGTCAGCACAAGAATATTAGGGACTTGAAATTCAGTTTCCTGCTTGAGTTGGGTGTGTCCATTTGGGGAAGCTGATGGGTTTGGATGGCCCAGTGGATGAAGATGGGACCTGAGGCAGCAGGCCCTGAGTGCTGCTGGGGCAGAGCATTGTTAGCACATGACCACGGGTGGGATAGGCTTAAATTGTGTGAGTTTCCTTTGGACAAGTAATACATTTCCAGCAGAAGCCACTTTTAGAACAAGGATGAAATTATGGATGAAAGAAACTAACAAAGTCTAGAGATTTTGATTTGTTTTTATTAAATGTACCAAAGAATTATTGGGGGAAATTAACTATGAAGTGCTATCCATAATTATTTTTTCCAGAGAAATAACTCTTCCAATTTAGATGCAAATTTATTTCGCTCTTTCTGCATTTTTTAATGCTGTCTTGAAAAATTATTCTTTATTTCCCCTCCTAGGCACAGTATGAAAACCCACCACATATTTATGCTCTTGCAGACAGCATGTACAGAAACATGATTATTGACAGAGAAAATCAATGTGTCATTATTAGGTAAGAAAAAGATTGGTAAACAATATTTTATCTTCTTATGGTGTTTTAACTTGAAGAAGCAGAAAAGTTTATTATATCATTAAAAATCTTCTGTCCACATTAACATTTTGAGATTTTTCTGGGATGGCTAAGTATTTTCTGACCCTCCTTTTTGTTTTCCAGTAAAATCCTGATGCTGGCTTAACCACAAGAAATCTCTTACTCACACAGCCATTTTCTTGTCCAATACTAAAATTACAACAGCTTGAATGACTGCATGAGGGGGTTGGATTAACAGCTGTACAACCACTGATAATGTTAAACCCAGCAATCCCACAAGGACTGCATTTATTGTGGTCTTTTGTTCCCTTTGGAATTTTACTTGCATTCACTCAGAGGCAAAAGGCAAGAGATACTGGGAAATTAATTTTGTCTTCACTATTAATCTATTTTAATTATTAAGTGATGGAATTCACCGTAGAATTATTAGTCAACTTTTTTAATGACAGGAATTATTTAAATGACAGTTGAAGTGAATTTTGGGACCAGAGTTACACTTTGTTCTTATCTGTGGGTTTTTTGCATGATAAAAGAAAATGAAAAAAAAAAAAGAACTGCAGGATTCTGCAGCTGGGACCTTCTGACAGGGCTGTTGGGGAGGTTCAGTGCAGGGCACCTGGAGCTGCCCTTTACCTGTCCCCAGAGCAGGGTGGGGCCTCCCAGGGCTGTGCAGAGATTTTACACCAAGGCCAAGCAGGTGGTAACAGAACAGTTTGCTGTGTCCAAGGAGAGCTGCTCTGCTCCTGGGCCCCTGAGACAGCCTGGTGCTATAGGAAACAAAAAGCCCAGAGCTCTCCTCCTGCCTGTCACTGGAATGGCTGAATTGTTCCCTGAGCTCAGTCTTTCTCTTTGGAAAACCGATGCCTATTGTTGTGCTGAAGTTTACTAGGCACATGTAGTCAAATTGAGACCTGTTAGGAGTGGGTAAAATTGGGATTTTGCTTTTGGCATGAAGTAACATCCAAGAGAGTGGGATGTCTCACATGAAGCTAAATTTACAGTGAAAAATCTTTGAGCTGTTGTGGATTGTGAATAAAAACCCTACTTTTTGGTCCTCTGCTATGCCCCACAGTGCAATGCATGCAGAGAGTCACATTGTGAGAGAGCTGAGATGCAGATCTGAGATACAGACTTAGAGTTTTAATTTTACATGAGAATTCTTGTACTTGAATGCTGGATGATGTACTTGAATGCTCTTTGGAATGTGCATTTTCTATGTGCAGAGTGAAACTTCTCTTAGTGTGTGCACAGCCTATTCAAAGTCTGCAGGAGCTAAATGAAATCTACTGCAAAACTGAAACAAGAAGGATTGTGTTTGCAAGGCACATTTCAGAGACCTTTTTTTCCCTTCTTACACATTTATCTTTCCTTTGATATTTTTATTACAAACACTGTAGATAATGGTGGACTAGACCTACAAGTAGTTTTCATTATGGTTTTTGATTTTTTAGGACACCTAGAAATTGTTCCTATAAATAAGAAGTAACTCACCTGCTTACTAAATTGGTATCATTTGGTTGATATTTTAATCTTTTGGATCACATTTGATTTAAGCTGTTTAGCTACATCTTGTATTTTCTGTTTTGTTGTGACCGGTATTTCCAACAACCAGGGCTGGCTTTAGAAGGAAGTTTCTTGAAGTATGGAGTTTGCTTGCTTTATGTTTTATTGTGTGGACCAGAAGGCACTGAAATTCCTGCAGACTGTCAGCTTCCAGGATTCTGCAGCTCTTGAGTGAAGTGAATGTTCTGCCTAACTTAGAGTCTGCTACCACTGCATCAGTTTCACATAATAGCTGCCAGAGGCTTTACCATTTCTGCCCCTAAACTAGTGATTCTCAAAAAACTGAGAAACAGCTCTGTGTTGTCAGTGCCACCCTTTGTGTTCACTGAAACATAGTTTTTGCTGTAAAAAATTGTCCTGTGGAAGATGAGTGATGATAATATGGTTATAGTGAGGTGCTTCTTACATCTCTGCTTCATAACTAGTCTGAATTTGGAGTGACTCCTCTGAAAATCTCTGGTAGAACAGAAGGACCAGAACCAGCTAGTACCCAGGTTTTTCCTTCTTTTTCCTTGTCAAAGTAGCAGATTCCTCTGTAAGGAAAGATTTGCAGAGAGAGAAGGTAAGAAATAAAGTGTAGACTAGCCCTATTCACAGCCAGATCACAAAAGCTAATTAAGTCTGGCTTCTGTTGCATATGGGAGCCTCAGGAATGGAGACAGAAGGATGGTGGGAAAGGGGCAGGTGCACACCTGCTGTGTCCTCCCACCGTGTGCTTTGGGCACCTGTGGCATCTACCTCCAAACCTGGGAGGGGACATGCATTCATCAGACTGGATGTGTGTTTCCAGGCAGGTGAAGGAGGGTCCCTAATGTAGGCAGAACACCTTTTACCTGAACATTACATCTAAATGCATTTAGACACTGATAGAAAAACTCCTCTTCAGAAGTCAGTGAATGAACTGGGAAAGCAGATCCAGAAGAAAATGCAATTCTCTGAAATAGGTGGCAACCAAAAAGAATCTCTTTTCACATGATAATACTAATTTTTAAAAGAAAAACTGTTACCAAACAACCTTACCAAGTCCAGGGAAGGCTTTTTCATTAGCTGAGTAATTCCAGCGTATTTGCATACGTGTTTAGAAAATTGCATGTGCACATGTCTAATCATAGCTGAGCTGCTTTGCATGGCTGCTGCAGAGTAAATAAACAGAGAGGTTATTCATGGGCTGCCTGCGGGCTGGGCTGAGTCCAGGAGCAGGGTGTGCTTAGGTGGGAGGAGGGAGCTGTGCCCCCAGGTCTTCCCTGGGTCTGTGCATGGGCAGGAGTGCAGAGGAAGGTCACTCACAGGGGTCAGACAGCTACGCTGGACTTCATTTCTCATTCACTTTATGTTTTACTGAGGCATGATGTTTAATTTAGACCTTTCTTGAACTAAGCTCGTCCGTGGCAATTAAAACAGACTGTTGGCATTTCTCCACCATGTGACATGAGCCCTTCCAGATTATCAAAAAGACTTGTCCAGTAAAGATTTTAATTATGAAGGATTTTCTCTTGTGACTTTTAATTCCTTTTGGGCTATCACCGTCCTTTAATTGAGAAAGTGGAGGTTATGATTAGTATTCTTCTATAATGTAGCAAAAAATTCATTTCTTCAGAGTATTGTTAAGATTTTACCTTTCTATAAAGCTGAGGACTTTATTTTCACTTTGATTCTGTGATCCCTGCCAGGAGAAGTTACTGTTGTGTTAAAGCCATTTTTCTTGTTTGTAGTTTTAGTTTACATGTGCCATTTGTGTGGCAATATATGAGTCCAAGAAAGCAGTGTATGATGACTGCATATCTGAAAACACAATACATCTTATATGCTACAAATAGGTGTTAATGAAAAGGTCATTTACCACCTGAACTGCTTTTAGTGAACAGCTCATGTCTTTCTTAAATCTATTAAGTTCAAAATTCAGTATGAGATTTCTAGTCAGCTTCTATATCTCAGCTTTCCAGAAGATTCAAATGACTGATCATTCTAAAACATCTGGAGACAACCTGATTGGAAATATGGGCTGAATTTTAATGAGGAAGTGGTAGAAACATAAGTCTCACACTGTAAGAAAAGTTAGGTTAAAGCTCTGATTCAGAAGGGAAAAATATTTCACTGAAATCATGCTACTGAGGTTTCTCTGAACATAATTGCAGAATGTAAATTATCTGTGTAAACAAACTAAAAAATGTATCCAAACACAGAGTATTTTACATGTACAGTGTTCTTTACTGGCAGATCCAGGAGTTCTTTATAAATATTTGGTATTGAAATGCCTACATTGTCCTGGTGATGTAGATAAGCATCACTTGTATTGTTCTACAGCCATGGATACCAGATTTAATGTTCCTCAGAAAATTAATTTCAGAGAGAAGGATGATGCTGTGTATCAGATCATGCTTCTCTAATTACTGATTGTTTCCTCTGGGAAGGAAGCAGGAGCAAAAAAATTTCCTTCTGTGTTTGTAGTCTTACTCTGATTTCAGCTAAGTATTAATTAAATTTCTGGAAGAAAATATCATTTTAATGAAGTGGAAAATAGTGCCAGAAGAATCAATATGTCTTTCAAAGCATTATAATTTTTGTTAGTGACTGAGACTATGCTAGTTTTATTTTTAGCAAGGAAAGTCTCTGAGAAAATTGTTGGTACCACAGTCCACTTTAAGCCATTTTAAGAGTTTTTTCAAGCTCTAAAAACTTACTTACTTCCAACATACTTCAAACTACTAAGCTAGATGATTCTTACATCTTAAAATAGTTTTAATAGCAGCAGAGCAATAAGGTTTATATGAAGCAGCTGCATGAGAACCATTTGGCAGGAATGCCACAATTTCCCTGTTTTGTTTAAATACCTGAGCTTTATTGGAGGCAGGATATCATCCCATCAGATAAAGCTACTTTGGTTCATAAATAATGCATCTTCTTGTTTTATTCTAGTTTAATTGGAGCAATTTGCTGGTCTTTGATCAATAAAACCCTAAAACTAAAAAAAAAGAGTGTATGCATGCATAAATCTAAAGCAAACTCTGGCAGGCAATCTTTTGGCCAAATTAATGTACTAGAAAGGACCACTTCTTTTGAAACAGAGGATAACAATAAAATGGAGCTTTATTGCTCCAGGTCAGTTCTGTGGCAGACACTGTGGAGTAAGAAATACAAGCCACACTTAATTTGAGCAAGGAGGAGAAGGATAATGGATGCATTGAAGAAAATCTTACAGAAATGTGTTATATTTTTACTGTGTGACAAATAACACCTGATCAGATTCATCCAGTGTTTGGCCCTGGATCCTTCCCTGTACTCATTTGAAAACTGCAATTTGTAAGCTCCGAGTATGATTCAGGTTCAGTTGATTTGTCTCGTTTTACAGGAAGAACAAATTTACTGCCAGCAGATTTTGAAGAAATGTTATTTTAATTATTGAACTATTCATGAGTTGAACTTTTAAAAGCAGTTTGCCATTCATGAAACTCGGTCCCTGTGAATATAGTAGATATGCATAATACAGGCTTTCTTGGTTTTTGGGAAAAGGTGACTCAGAAGAATAATAATAATCATGGTCTGTGCTCCACAGATGGATGCTCAATAAGTACTTTTTCACCCTTTCAACTTTTCAGTTTAATCTGTAAAACTGTAGTCAGGAGAAGATAAAAGCATGAAAATGTTTCTGGGAAAATAATTTTCAAGAGCCTTTAAGTATTTCTGTATTGTTTGGAAGCTTTAAAGATGTAAAATTACATTTGCAGCTTGGCACTTTGGGGAGTTTTTCCAGAATGAAACCTTTAAAAATGTGTCTATTAGTCATGCTGATAAGGAGCTCTGAGTTGTTCGTTCTCGGTGAGTCCCTTTCCTGTACAGGACATGCTGATGTTTCTTTGGCAGATGTAGCTGAAATTTGTGCAGGAAAAGATGTGCATTTGATCCATATCCAGGAACAAGTGGGCGCAGGATAGAAGAGTCAACAATGTTCACCGAAATTATTCAGGAGTTTAAAGATAGCACAGATTTGCACCAAAGATAAAACTGTTTTAGCTCTTTTTGAGACATTGATCCGACATCTGTGTGTTGTTCATTTTGCTTTGGTGTAGTTATCCAGGCCACAGGAAATGCATTAAGGTCAGAGCTGACTTGCATTAGACTTCATGAAGTCTGGAAGAATTCTGTTGAAATGAAGGGAAGAAGCTTTAAGGGATGAAGGGAAGGGAGGTTGGATTGTCTGGCATGCCAGTCTTCTCTCCCTCTTGAGAAACTTACTGATTGAAAGAAGGCAAAGCTGCTGATGTTGTAAACACCATTCACCATTGAAGTGAAATATTATAAAGGAAGGAAGGAAGGAATTGTGAGAGCTAGTATGGGATATTAAAACTTGTTGTACCCTGTGTCAAGAGGCATAGGAACAGGAAGGCAGTGGTTCCGTCATTCAGGATGTGATTAATAATGCCTCATTATTTTATTCAGGAACACCTAAAACAAAAAAGTACCAAAATGAAGTAGGTATCTGGCATGGCATGCACAGTGCAGATTTTCAAATTATTTTTGTGTCAAGACCTGAAATCCCCCTAAATGGGTGGAAATTGAGTCTTTAACACACAAATTCTCTTCTGAGCATCTTGGTTTAAGTAGATGTTTCTCAATGTATTTATTTTCTGACCTTGGACTCTCACAGAGGCTCTGGTACCAATGCAAGATGGTGTATTCTGAGTTCTGTACTCACAAACATATCTGAGTACCATGCTACCACACTGTATCACAGTCTGTATTACCAGGTTACTCAGTCTGAATGTGGTGTATTTAATTAAGGTACCTCACCTTGGTTGGACAAGATGAACTTCAAATTACCCCACCATCGAGTTACTTAAAAACTAACATGTACATTTTTGTGTTCCTTTTCCTATAGTGGGGAAAGTGGTGCTGGAAAGACTGTAGCTGCTAAATATATCATGAGTTATGTCTCCAAAATTTCAGGAGGTGGTCCTAAAGTACAGGTGAGTTGACACACAGTAATACTGAAGCATAAGCTTAGTCTAGATTCACTTGAGAGGTGGAATGACAAAGGGTGTTGGGGCAGACACTGGCAAACAAGAGGCTCTTTTGACCTGGGTATCCTGGGGATGAGCAGCCCCAAAGCAGAGAGCCCTGAGCTGGGCAGCTTTGCTCACCTACAGAAAGCTGCCTAAGAGCCATGGCAGGGACAGCACAGGGCCAGAGCCAGCTCTGCTCCAGGTGCTGTAACCCTTGTGCTGAATTGCATCTGCAAGATGGGGGGGTTTTGTCTTTGGTTTTTGGTTTTGTTTTAGTTTTTTTTTTTCTTAGTTAACTGGTAAAAGGTACTTTAATTGTTCTAAACCAGATTAAGAGCAACAATCAGTCCTTTAGTGGATGTATAGTTAGTTTTTTCCTCCTGTGTTGGCATTTTATTGAAAACTGACCTGGCTTTTTGGGTTTCTGTTGCTTCCTTTAAATTTCTAATTTGTGTGTATACATCAAAGAGGCACGGCAAAAACATCATCTTGTTTTATGATGTTATCTAGGCTAAATTAGAGTGTGTGAAAGCTGCCTGAAAAAAATAAATAGTTGCTTTTGGTAGTACTGATGCTGTTGATGTCTGTTCTACCTACAAACTAAAGCTAGTTGAGTGAAGTAGCCATAAAAATTCCCTTAATGACAGTGTCATTCCTACACTCACAGGCAGTGGTAGGTAGTGGCTGCTTTTACCAGTCCATTCCTGTTGAGTGTTTACTGTAATTTTTGCTTTATTGCAGTCTCTGATGGTGAGTGTGTTCTTTTTGCATAGTTTTGTGCAACAGTGACACTGAGACCATTGCAGAGAATAACTCAGTAACCAAGAGAATGATCCAGAGAGTGCCTATAAATATAACCATACTTTTAAGTAAATATTTTGTTTAAAAGATTCCAGCTTTTTGTACGAAATTAAAAAATTACAGAGTAATAGTTAGTACTTAGTAATTACAGATTTAGAGTTGATGAGGTTGGTAGGTTGCCTTAAGCATTTCTTTTGAAATAAATTCCATCTTCTTTTCACAATTCTGCATGCATTAGATTTTTTCCAAAGCTGATATCTTCTCCATGTTTTGAGCTCCCAGGACTAAATAAAGAGACAATAGTAACACATTACTTTGCTTTCTAAGAAAACTGGATAGCATTATCAGTGATTCCAAAACAGATTGCTGAAGCACTTGCAGATTCTTAAATTTTATGCTACTCTGACTTCATTGGTTGTGGTTCCAGACCTACCCAAAAAATTAAATGCTCATGTGTAAGTGTGGTTTAAAATGAAGACGATGGAAAAAACAGGTTAATTTGTCAGCTGTGTTGCTTGGCAGAACAATGCACAGAAACAGGTTTTAGCTTCAGGGATTTTGTTTAATTTTATAGGATTTTCCTCAAAAATAGGAACTAAAAGCTCTGGGAGAAAAATTGTTGGATTCTATTCCTTATATGATCACGAGAATTTTTTACAGATGCAGAATTTCTTGCCTTTTTAATATATAATTTATATGTCTTAGGATTTTTTTTTAATAAAATAAATGTAAGAACTTTAAAATATCTATTTCTGAATTTGCATTTCTTTTCTTTGCTAAAATTTTAGCATGTTAAAGATATTATTCTACAGTCCAACCCTTTACTGGAGGCCTTTGGGAATGCAAAAACTGTACGGAACAACAACTCCAGCAGATTTGTAAGTCCCTCTACCTTCGAGATCACTTTACCCTTCCACCTTCTGTGCTGTTACAGAGACAGTGTTCAGGGGTATAATATAAGTTTACTACAGGTGAAGTAAATGTGAATAAGATATAAAGTGCATTTCAAACCATGGTAGATGTCAGAAGCTTCTGTTGCATTCTGTATAAGTTGTGCATTTATTTCTCTGTATATACTGGGTACAGCTTTTAAAGTACCAAGGCTGCAGCCTTTACTACTAATATTATACAGGCAGTAGACAGGAATTACTTTCAGTCTGTCATTCTAGAAGGGTCAAGATAATCTCATTAAATGACTGACTGCTCACTGAATTGCACACCATAGGTTCCATTTTAACAAGTTACATGTAGGCTTAAAAAATCTGAGATGTGTTCCTTGGCTAACATGAGTGTTAATGCAGTTAGTGTCTCTGGGAAAGCAAGGCATCGTTGTTTTGCTTTGCTTTGCTTCCAGGCAGAACAGTTTGGTCTTGGTTGTAAAGCTGTTGAACTGCCTTGCTGTGCAGGTGAGCTTCATGGTTTCCTTTGTCCTAAGCAAGAGTCTCAGCAGTGAGGAGAAGCCTTTCTATGTTTGCATTAACATGGGATGTGTTAATGTCGAGCTGTATAAATGCAGAAAAGGCATTCTGGTGGTGGTTCAACAGTCTAAGCTTAGGTTGTACCTTGAGGTATCCATAAAGATGAAATATCCTTGTAACCTTGCTTGGAATACAGTACAAATGCACAATTTTGAATTTGCATTTACTAACCATTTAACAGCTTGAATTATTTATTGCAGGGGAAATACTTTGAAATACAGTTTAGCCCAGGTGGAGAACCAGATGGAGGGAAAATCTCCAACTTCCTACTGGAAAAATCTCGAGTTGTAATGAGGAATCCTGGAGAGAGGAGTTTTCACATTTTTTACCAGGTCAGAAGCGTCTAAGTCCTTTTTGAGTTATGTAAAGTATTTAGGACCGTTTCTCCTTTTGATTGAAAAGTTGTTCTCAAAGCAATGAGATTTGAGTGCACACTACAAAAGTAACCTGGTATCTGCTGAGAAGCTCAATGGCATGGTGAGACACCATCTGCCATAGACCTGCCTGGCTGCCTTTCAGCTCCAGAACAGAATACTGCAGTATTGCCAAGCCTTGCTTGGAAATTCATTGTGAACTCTCATATATGAAAAGTCTAGGAGAATATAATAGAAAATTAGAACTTTTCAGCAGATCTCTTTTTAAACTGGCATATATATATGTAGAGAGAGACCAGTTTATATATAATCTGTATTGGCCTATACTTCCTGTGAAAGAGAAATTTGATTCTCAGTTTATTTTTCTGAGACATTTATGATAATACTCTTTGTTGAATTGTCCAAGTATCCCCGTTTTTTGTGTTTGAAAAGACTTTACTGACCTTCACTGGTCTTTGATGTGCATGGTCCTCACCTGCTGGAGTGCTGCTGATCAAGCTCTACAAAGCTAGGGCCAAGACAGAGCTTTCTAAGTGACTGTAGCCAGCTTCACATAGATGAAGTGCCATTGCCAGGAGGGAAAGCTGAGTTGGTGCTGGAATTACTCCTTTTCTGGGGCATATGTACAATTTGCCCTTTTCCTGCTGCTTTTCCTGTGGCCTGGAGAGATTTTTTGACACAAGATTTAAGACTGTGATTTTTGACAGCTCTGTTTTGAGGTTTGTTCCTCCCTGGTGCAGCCATGTCTGTGCATGACTGCATGGCCTTTGCATGGGTCTGAGGAGCATGAAGGATGCTTGTCCTCACAGTGAGAGCCACAGATGATGCTTTCTGAACGTGCTCTCAGCTGTGCCTGCCTTGCACTAGGTGTGGAAAACACATTGCTCCTGAGGATTTAGGGAAACACACTGGGGATCAGAAAACCCACTTTGCCTTTTCTTAATGAGTTAAAGATAATGGAAGGCATTCAAGGCAGTCAAATTTTTAGCTATTTATTAGTTGTAAAGTTAGAACTAAACCGTTTGTGGGAATGGGATTGAGAGCTTGGTCTTCTGGATTAAGCAATTCCCAGAAGGTAGGAAAGATACATCCCTGGCACAGCACCAGCTGTATCTCTGCCAGTAATTTCAGGCTCAGTCACCTGTTTCTGACCTGCTCATCTCTGCTGGAAATTGTTGGGTGATACCTAATTTGGGGGTTTTTATTCTGCAGCTAATTGAAGGGGCCTCCTCAGAACAAAAAAGCAGCCTTGGCATTACCAGTATGGACTACTATTACTATCTGAGTCTCTCTGGGTCCTACAAAGTCGATGACATCAATGACAAATCAGATTTCCAAGAAACACTGGTGAGTTCTTTACTGTATGATTTGTGTATGGTGGATGTATGTTCATTTTGCCATTCATTTTTCACAAAGACATTGATCTATTGATGTGGGAATGAGAAATTATTGTAGATGTAACTTATTCTAGTTGTATTTTGCCCTGAGGAGGTGTGTTAAACCTGAAGACAGGTTTTGTAGAAAGGTGTTGTGATTTTCAATTTGTTCTTTTTCAGAAGGGTGCAAATTTAATGAAATTTAACTTGTACAGATAATCTTGTAGTATGAAAAATGTGAAAATGCAAACACAGTGAGGAACTTGCATTAGAAGAAAATTATAAAAGAGTGACCTGCTTTAGCTGAATTCCCAGTGCTGGCTGACCTTCCATGCTTATTTAAAACATTACTGCTGAAAAGCTGGAGAAAGGGAGTGTGAAAGCAAATCAGGGATCTTTATCCAGCACTGCTGCCAGTTCATTGTGTGACCTGCCAACTGCTGGCGTCCTGTTCTTAGGAATCTACTATTTAATGTAGGTGTATTTACACATTTATGCATGTAGCACATTTAAAGGCCTAAAAAAAATTATTAGTGTTGTACTGGAGCTTATTTGGTATTTTAGAAAAATAGTTTGTTGAGAAGACATTCTGTAAGTTGTCATGTACTCTGAAATCTAAAACCCAGGGGTGCTAGGGATTTTCTAGTAAGTGGCTGAAATTCACAGCCTAAGCCAGACTCTGGACTGTTTTTTAGAGTCATTCTGTACAACTTCACAATTCTTAGTCTTGGTGGGTAAAACCACTTGACTGTGTAGAAGGAATAAAATAATTTTCTCTTAGGTTCATTGTTTCCCAATTTGCAACAACGCTATTTGTTTTTAGTGGGACACTTAAAAACAGGTGTTTATTTTTCCCAGAACTTACTTTGTTAATACATCTTCCAAAAAATGTAACTGCTTCTGTATTTAGCTAAAAAAAATATAGAAATGCTGAAGCAGAACATCTGGCACCCTTTGAAACTTCATTCAACTTTAACGAAGTTTGGTTGCCTTAGGAATCTGAACTGCTTTAAATAACTCTGCTTTTTAACACCAAAATTTTAAAAGGACTTCTAAGACAAGAATCTTTGACTGGTACAAATTTGTTTGTTTGTTTGTTTTTCTTCCCAGCATGCAATGAGTGTGATTGGGATCTTTGCAGAGGAGCAGGCATTGGTACTGCAGATAGTGGCAGGAATATTGCATTTGGGAAACATCAGCTTCAAAGAAGTTGGCAACTATGCAGGAGTGGAGAGCGAGGAGTGTAAGTACCTCTGGAAAGTGTTAGAGGAGCAGCAGTGGGCTGCAGCCCAGATGGCAGAAGGTGAACTGCAATTTAGAGCTGCTTATCCAAACAGAGCATCGTTCCTTAGAGTGTGAGGCTGCCAATTGAGAGTCTGTGCCAAAACCAGGTGCTGAGGCCCCTCTTTTGTCTTGTAAAAGGCTACTGACTTAACAGGAGTGTGATTTTGAATTTGAGAAATCCTGTTCCAGCCTTTGAGTATGAAATAATAGACACGATGAGAAGGGTTTGAACTCTGCTTCTTTCAGTGCACCAGCACATATTCATAAAAACCCCAGTTTATTCTTTGGTTTGTGTGGCCTCCTGTCCTGTGAAAGCAGATTCCAGCTGTGGGTGTCCCTGGGCTCAGGACATGGCTGGTGCCCAGGCATCCATACAGGTGTGTGCATGTGCCTTGTAAACAGAGGCTCAGAGCTGAATTGAAATGCAGACTTTACATTCTGCAGTTATATTTCCTGTTTCAAATTCCTCAACTGATACCTCATTGTTAGCTACAGCTACTGAGTAACTATTTCTTTACAATTCCCTTTCCCACAGTGCCCTGTCCTTGCATCCCTCAACGCTTGCTCTGTTCTGTAGCAGCTGGGCCCGCAGCAGCAGTGTTGGAATGTTAATGGACTTGGAGTTTTAAATGTTTTTGTTATGATTTGCACCTTGCATCTAATGTGGATTTATGCTACTTGGATGGTTTAAGGGCAGAGTGGATAAGCACAATATACCTAACAGTACCTTATACATACCTGTGGGTTCTCTTAATTCTTGGTTCAGAATGGGTCTTATGTTTAGGAAAATTGCATTTGTCTTGTTTTAGATACTTTATCCATAACTAACTTACCTTGTGCAGTCAGCTTCACACTCGACTGTATTAACACTCTCCTGCTATTTGTTTTATGAAATGGGGAAATAAAAATCACTAATTTTTAACCTTCCTAGTCTCTCAACTTAAGAAATTAGGCGAACCCAAAGAAAAACATTTTGTGGTGTTGGAATCAAAAAACATATAAATACGAATGAGCTACTGTGCTTCAATTTCAATCACAGTATTAAATCTTGCAATCAAATCAAGGCATTTAAATGCCATAGAAGATGGTTACAGAATGTGTTGCATCGAAATAACAAATGCAAAGACATGAATTGAAAATAAAGCATTAGAAGTGAATGTGTTTCTGTTATGAGCCATGTCCACATTTCTCCTGCTCCCTGGGATACAAATACAAAAACTATGTATGAATAATACATGGGAAGAAATTAGAAAGTAGAATGAATATCAAACTTAGGCATAAATATACTTATTTTAAAGAAGCCAGAGAAGAAATAGCCATGTCTAGCACAGTTTCTGCATTATGAAAATGAAAGTTGGACTCACTTCTCTTCTCTGTTAGTCCTCCCCCCAGTTTCTGTTCATCCTAACCAGCTAAACAGTAAAGCATTTATAGCCTGCATGGCCACGAAGGATAAAGCACGAGGAACAACCACAGCTCAGTCCTGCTTTTTGTAAGCCTAAAATAATAAAAAGTTTAAGAATTTGGTCAGTTGTGTTCCTGTTATATAGCAAATTGCAAAAAAACGTGCAAAGCCATTCTTTGGGACACCAAAAATTCTACTCTCTCACTCTGAGTCAGAATCAAATCTATACTGACCCTTCTTGACAGACTTTTAAACAAATGCAATTTTAAAACTACCAGTGATTGCTATCTGCTCCAGTTTTTGATTATAGTATTACATGAAAAAAGTTCTTATTTGCTGGAAATCTTTCATGCTACAAATCAGGGCAAATAATAGTACTTCTCTCTTGGAAGGAGAAAAGAATTTAAACCCTCTCTCTTTACACTTGCATTGTATTGGGAGGATTGTTTTTCACTTCCTGGAAGCCCAGGAAGTGAGCCCAGTCTTTTCAGCTTTCCTTCACAGAGTGAATTTAAAATATTCCACTGAGTGCTACTGATGACTCTTTGAGGATCATTTTTTCAAATATATGCATATCCTGCTTTATAATAATTTCCAGACGGTAACTTTATGATCCTAACTAGGGAAAAAATCAGGCATCTTAAGAATGTGAAGTTGTATCAAGTGCTGGCCAGCTACTCTTCCCTTACAGTAAATCATTAGCCCTGGGAAGGGAGAGTTTCTGAGCTCTGCACAGTGCTCCCTGCCATTAGACAAATCATAAATTCTTACCAGTAGTGTTGGTTAAGCATTTTTCCTGGCATCTTAACAGTATATGTGAGCATATCTGCTCTATAATTGCCTACATTCTTTCCCAAGTTAAAGGGAAAAATCAATATGATGATGAACCTTTTCATGTGCTCTTCAACCTGAGTTCTCTGAATTACTAAAGATGTTGCCAGTGACTCGACTTTGTGTCGTTCCTGGTACCCCAGAGTAAATTTAATCAGTTTGCTGATGGTAATAAATCATATTTTAGAAAGCTGATGGTTATTGCAATACTTTTGGAATAATGTACTAAAGGATTTAGTGAAGTCATACTGTGACATTACAGATGTGTAAAGCTCAAGTGGCTGCTGTCTTAGTGATTATTTTACATTCTCACACCAGTAAAGTACATCTGAAACCAGTGGAACACGGAGGAAACACTGTTAGTGGCTCGTGGTGTTTAGTGGAGGTACAATACCAACTCCAGGCGTTTTCCTGAGGAGCTTTTTCTGTTTGCTCTCAAGATACTTCTGTTTTTCCACTCCCTGAAGGGTGTGACACCTGCAGTAACATCTGCACCATGTCCTGAGAGTGCAGAGAATTCCAGACCCTGGGCTGCTTATGGCACATGTATTTTTGTGCTTTGCTTTTAAACAAGGGGAAACAGAATTGACAAAGTACTTAGAGAATAAGGGATTAAAAAATAAAAGGCAAGGTAATTAAAAACTTTTTCCAATGTCCTAATTTATAAGAAGAAAGAGAAAGGATATTAGGAAGCAGATAGCTTTTATTTCATGTGTGAGCTCTATGTTTTATTTCCATCTCTTCCAAGAGTGATTTGTTTGAACCACACAGTTCAAAACTATGTCCTGTGGCAGCTTACATGTTTGAAGGACTGAAGGTACAGAAGTAGCTGACTATTTTACTTCAAGGTGGTTTATCTTAATTGAAATCCATGTAAGTAAAGAGTTGAAAATGTCCTTAAGGAGCATAGGGAAATTTTAAAGACATAAATCACTCCTCTTTTCCTTTTTAAGCTGCACACTACGTGAGTTTTATTGTTATTTGAGATAACAGTTAATTCTTTTCTTTGTTCTGTATTTAGCCTGTAAGTCATAATCCAGCAATCCTGATCTTTCTTGCAGTTTTAGCTTTCCCTGCTTTTCTCCTGGGAATTAACCAGGACCGCTTGAAGGAAAAACTGACCAGCAGACAGATGGACAGCAAGTGGGGAGGCAAATCTGAGTCCATTCATGTCACCCTGAATGTGGAACAAGCCTGCTACACCAGGGATGCACTGGCCAAGGCCCTTCATTCCCGTGTTTTTGATTACTTGGTGGATGTAAGTTGGATTTGCTTGATTCTCCTGAAGTATCAAAACAAGTTCAAGGGCACTAGGAATGTTCCTTGCAGGCTTTTTCTTGCCTGTCATTGCTTTGCCCGAGCCTGCTCAGTGCAGTGGGAGTGTGCCCATGGATACCAAACACAGGGCACTGCCTCTGACACCAGCTGTGCTTGCAGGCTCCTGCCAGAACTGTCCCGTGGGGGATCCTCATGTCCTTCCTCTCAGCATCTCTACTTCTCTGACTTCCTCCTCCATAGCAGAGCAGAATTAGTTGGTTGTGCTCTCCTGCTTTCTGCTCCCACTTCCCTGCAAAGAGCCCCTTCAGCAGCCACATTTGGTGGTGGAGCTGGGGCCACATTCCATTCTCCATGCCAAAATGTCCTCTTGTGCAGTGAGACCCTGGGCTGGAGGCTGGGGGCCCTGGATGCTCCTGGTGCAGCAGGGATCTGCTCCATGGGCACTGCAGTGACCAGAGGTGCCCTCCTGCCAGCAGCCCTGCCATCCCACTGTGCCTGTACCAGCACTGATGCTGCACGGGAGGGGGGCACAGTAAGGGGAAGAGAGTCAGTGTACCCTCAGCAGAATTTATCAGATAGCAGACATAAAGTTCTTTTTCTTTGTCCTTTTATTTAACTGAGCCAGTTACAGCGAAGAGAGAAGATTTTTATAGATAGTAAATCCAAAGACTCACTGACCTGGAAAGCAGGATAACATACTGTTCATTTCCTAACTGTTTGTAACACTTTATTAAAAAGTGAAAGCAAAATAACCTATTCAGTATATTTGTATTCAATTAAATAGATATTATTTTAGAATAATTTTAGTAGAAATATTTAGGAATATTGATATATTTTAATTGTATAACTGTGCTTTGTTTTATGTTTTGTTTCTGTTTTGATAGTCTATTAATAAGGCTATGGAGAAGGACCACGAAGAATATAACATTGGTGTCCTTGATATTTATGGCTTTGAAATATTTCAGGTATGGCAGTGGAATACCTGGGGTTCGAGCAGATCTGACCTAGGAGAGGGGTTTTTTTGTAATTTAGACGGGAAAAAATTTAAACCAGAAAAAAAATCACACATCCTATGGCCAGAATAAAAGCAAAAAAATCCCAACCCATCTTCCTGAACATTGTGATCTCACTGGTAATGTCTCACTTAATAAACATGAAGTATTGAAGAAACTTCAAAGAAATGAAGTCATTGATCTTAAAAGAAAGATCTGAGATTCCACAAAATGTCTATAAAGTCAGCAACCCATCTGTCACTGACAGTGTTTCTTTGAAGCTTATTGCCAGCATAGGCACTAAAAATTATTGTATATAAGGTAGGAGACTAATTTTTACATCGTTTCCTTTTCTACAGAAAAACGGTTTTGAACAGTTCTGCATCAACTTTGTAAATGAAAAACTGCAGCAGATTTTTATTGAACTGACACTGAAGGCAGAGCAGGTAACCAGACTTTTCTACTTTGGAATTCACAAATGAGCTATTCCTTTTCCAACTGGTGGAAAAATCGAGATTTCATCATCTGTTAACAGTAAAATCAACCTTGTTAATAAGCAAGACAAAGGGAAAGAAAACAACCTTTGTTGCTGGTTGACCCTAAAACTCTAGAGCACATCAGCTGCAGTCATTTGTTGTCTGATGGAGTGGTGCAGGAGCCAGTCCACCCCAGAGTGTGCTAATGCAGTCATATGACTGTGCCCAGGCATGCTGCAGAGTCTGACTCATGGGCAGGGATGGGAAGCTGCAGCCTGGCTCCATCCCTGGGCTTCCCTTGAGCATGATAAACATTTCATTGGGGATACTTGCCTTAATTTCCTCTACTCTTTCTTTTATTTTTAAAAAATATATATGTATATATGTGTATGTGTGTATATGCAAGAATGAAATAGATCAGAGAAATAGAAAAATACTTGTGGAAGTATTTGCAGTTCTCTACTCACAGTCTTACTGCCAAATCTCACTTTTTTTTGTTTCTGCTTTGGAGGGCAGACAGGATGCAGCTGAGACAGGAGCCCTGTGTGCAGTGTGAGCTCAGGGCTGGCACCAGCTTTGGGACAGAGTTTTCAGGAATGCCCAGACACAATTGCCTTTGTGGGAAAGTAGCCAGTCATGGCACTGGGTGCACAAGTGACCTGCAGACTGTCTGCTGAGCCCTGATATGTGCAACTGACTGGGTCAGTTTAATCGAATTTTAATATGGATTTTTCCCCAGTCTGTCTTTAGGTGCCTTTACGGATACAGTAATTGTATACAGAAATAAAAAGCTGCATCTTCATTTCATGTACATTTCTAAATGTGTTGTCTGGGGGATCTGATCCTCAATGTGCCTGTCACAATCTTAATTTTTAAAATAGATCAGGATGTGTAGATACTTAGGTGCACTGTCAAGATACTGTAAAAGTCATTTTGTTACTATTTGTAAAGTGCTTTGACAATAAATGGAGTTGAAATCTGCCTGCTGTTGTCAGTAACCACGGAAAGGCTGTGAATGACAAAGGAATGTGTGGGGAGAACAGAGTAGGATTTCGATTCATCTTTTAGGCAGCAGAGAGCTGGATTTAACTATCAGTAGGGTCATTTCTCCCACCTCCACCCAGTCATACATTTGGCAAGTTCCTGAACATGAGTAGTGCAGAGTTTGTGTCTGTGGTGTGTTGTAAATCTAGTGCTACATCTACAGTGCAAAGGAATGTTTGCATCTGTTTCTTTTTACTTAACAGGAAGAATATGTGCAAGAAGGAATTAGATGGACACCAATAGAATACTTTAACAACAAAATAGTATGTGACCTTATAGAGAACAAAGTGGTAAGTATTTAGAACAAACAGGTGGAGAAAACAACAGGATTTTTTTCTCTTGAACATTTGGACAACTGCTTTTTCTGTAAAGAAGGTTCATAGGAAAATGCAAATCCTGTTGTTCTGTTACTGAGTCATACTAAGTCTATATATAAATCTTACATAAGATGTCTTATAGGAGCCCTAAGATAGATCATGTAAGATACCATCCAAAAAGAGAACTATACCATAGCATGATTGACATGTGACTAAGAAACGAAATAATGGGAAAAAAATTAAGACCTTACTGACATACTGGGAGATTTAATCCAGTTTGGGGAAGCTGCAGCACTGCCTTTCCTTTAAGGTGCTGTTGCAAATCCAACAGAAACAAACAAAGAGACAGTATTGTAGATAGAAGGAATTTTGTGGTTTTGCTGCACAGACTGTTCTGTAGTCTCAAGTCTTTATGTTCTGCTTTGGGATGACGAATGTTGAGTTGTCCTTTAGGTCAGAAGTAGAGTGTTTTTCAGATAGTTCTTTATCCTCGTGTAGGCCAGAACAGTTTTGAAAGACTGGAGTGGCTTGTGCTTAAATGCACATCAGATTTTGCCCATTTTCTGTCTGTATGAGGATCACTAGGAAGAGAATAAGATTTCCCTCCCAATCTCAATATTTAGCTCTACGTTTGTGAAACTACAGTATGTCCATTTAAATACTTTCCTCAGACATGGATTTACTTTTTGGTGGAGTGAGGAAAGAAACTTTTAACAAATGTTGAGTGTTTTAATGTTTTTGTTAATGTGGTTTTTCTCAACAGTAATCACTGTTTCCTCCATCATTTCCCACTGTCACTATCATCCCATGAAGTGTCATCTCTCCTTAAACTGTTTGCATATTGGTGTAAAAGTTAATCTCAGTTGATTGGAGGGAAATCCTTCCTGACTGTGCTCCAGTATTTTTGTAGCAAAGACAGTTTTCTGTTTGGGGGAAGCAACTGGCACCATAATTTTTCCCCCCTCACTTGAGCTGCTGTTCTTGTTCCCCAACACATTAGAATCCCCCGGGGATTATGAGCATTTTAGATGATGTGTGTGCCACAATGCACGCCGTGGGAGAAGGGGCTGACCAGACATTGCTCCAGAAACTCCAGATGCAGATTGGGACTCACGAACATTTCAACAGCTGGAACCAGGGCTTTATCATCCATCATTACGCTGGAAAGGTAACGTGGAAAATTATCACTGAATTCTCTGTAATGGATTTATGAGGAAAGAGAGCAGGGGGGAAGCCCTGCAGGGGGCTGGCTTGGTTTTACACAGCCAGGTTCTCTCAGGAGACAGTGTCCCTTCACAGTGCAGGGAGCTTAGGACAGAAATGCCTTCACACATGGCCCTTGCTGGAGAGAAGAGTCTGGGCCTTGCTGCTCTCAGAACCAGAACTTAAGTGTAATAAATGAATGCCCCGTGACTTTTGTTAGCATTTTTTATTACAGTTGCAGTAAATTTAAAGAATTCAGATATAAAAATGATGTTTAGGTGATGATATACCAATAAAACTGGAAATACAATGTGCAATTCTGTCTTGTTTGGATTTATTTCTTAGAGTATTCATTGTTTTCTGCAGTTAATAACAATAAAACTTACTGTTTAATAACAGTAAAACTTACTGTCCTTACTATGCAAAAAATTTTCATAGTAAAATTCAGTATTAAATTCACTTGTCATGTTCCATTCACTAGTTCCATAAGTTTTTTAAAATTTGATTTTAAAGTGAATTTATATTTGAAGGTGAAACTCCTTTGTTTGTTGAGAAAAGTTTAATAATACATGCTGGGATTTAGTGCTCATTGTAGTATCTGAGTTTTACCAGACTAACCAAAAAGTACAGAACAGCAACTGATGAGGACAGAATTTAAATTTTCTTTAATTATTGGGTTCTCAACTTAACCACAAACAACCAATTTCTACCTTGGCCCAGGTATCCTATGATATGGATGGATTCTGTGAGAGGAATCGGGATGTTCTTTTCATGGACTTGATTGAACTCATGCAGAGCAGTGATTTGTACGTAAGCAAAACTCGCTTCCAGCTGGGAATGTCATGGTGGTTTGGAGGGGCACACAGGGCCTGACTTCTCTGCTTTGTACCTGCTCACCTCCTTTGTGTACCAGTGCAAATATAACCCAATGCTGCAGTACAGCATCCCTTCATTGCCCTGACCTTCATTTCTGAAAATTGGGCCAAGGGGGGCACTGCAGTGTCAGAATCAAATGCTGTAATGGCAGCCTTTGTTTTGGCCTCAAGCAAGGCCATCAGTGGTCTGGCATGCTCTCAGAACAGGCACTGTTTTGACAAACAAAGTAACATTTTTTGTGATGTATTTTAATTAATTGATGCTTACTTTTTAAGAAGTGTGCATTTCTTCAGGTCTTCTAGATGTCTGATGTCATGGCTTTCGATGCTCACTAAAATAGCAAGGGGTCTCTGTGAGGAATAAAGCTCATGGAAAGTACTAATCTTAAAATAGATTTGATATAACTCAAGAGTAATAGAAATAGCTATTTATATTCTGCTCAACTATCAACTTTTACAGCATATTCCTTAACATACTTGCATTGAATTGTCTTTCTATGCCAACCCTGTTTTATAAATTCTTTCCTAGGCCTTTTATAAAGGCTCTGTTTCCCGAAAATCTTCAAGTGGACAAGAAGGGCCGTCCTACCACTGCAGGCAGCAAAATCAAAGTATGTCTCCTTTTGCAATGTTGGTGTGTGTATATGTGGTTGCGTATGAATATAGCTTTATTAGAATCATTCTACCCAGCATCAGTGTTCATTAAATGTTGTATTCAGCAGCATCCTATAGCAGTGAATTTTCAAAACGAGCAGTTGATGGTCCTTGCATGTGTATAATGAATGAGCCACCTCACTCAGCCTCTCATGTCCTACAGGTAACTGGTCTCTTTACAGTGCAGGAATGCTGACCCAACACCCACCCAGTCAACAGCAGTGCCTCTACTGACCATAGAGTGCCTTGCCTAAGGCAGAAAGTGCTACAAGGCCAGGGTCTGTTTGGAGACTGATTGTGGAATACACACTTAGATTACACATGACTTTGCAAATCAGTATTTTACCAACCTCTTTTCTCACATTTCACCCTGACAGGTTCACTTGATGCATTTGCTCCACATTTTTATATAGAAGTTTGAATGTGTTACATAGCTGGAGATAATGGTGCCTATTTACTGTTAAGTTTATTTTGAGGTGCATATTAACCCAACACACTTCGGTTGTTGAAGAAAGACCAAAGGCAACTGTAGCCAATAGAGTCATCATCAGATGGTTTATCAAGAATTCCCTCAGGATTTACCCTGTTCAGCTCAGATCCTGTTGTTTTCCCTTGTTTTACAGAAACAAGCCAATGACCTTGTTGGCACCCTGATGAAGTGTACACCCCACTACATCCGCTGCATCAAACCCAATGAAACAAAGAAGTCTCGAGACTGGGAGGAGAGCAGGTATGGATAAGTAAAGTGTGTGAGGAGAAGCAGTGCTAATGGTCAAAAGAAGCCACAAAAACTCATAATTTGTAATTGCACGGCCTATGAACAGAACTACATTCTCTAAACTATGAGAGATGAAATCTGGCATGACCTCTCCTAAACTTTGAAGATAAGTGGTGGTCACTTGGTCTAAATGAGCACTTAGTGTATGCAGCTCTTGGCTTTTCGCCTGCCTGTTATGGATAACCAACATTTGCATAAGTAACACAACCAGTATATTAAAGACTTGGTTTTCCATGTAGAATGTGTATTATGATCACTTTTATGCTTTGCTATTAAGAAACTAAAAAGCCAATAGGATCTCTGTATCTACTTTTATGTATCAAACCTGCCAAAATGTGTCTATAACGAACAGTGGAGAAAGTTCCTGTTTTACTTCTTACATTTGATTAGCTAACTCTTTAAAAAGAATTGACTGGAATGTCATACCAGGTATTTATATAGACATTAAATAGATGTGATAAACCAAACTGATCATTTAGACATGTGTTTTAAGGCATCTTTAACTACGTGGTTCTTATAGCATCTTCCTGTTCTCTGGAAAAGAGGCTGCTCTTTTTGCACTAGCCTAGGTGCTCAGTAGGATGTGTAAACCATGTGGGGGCCTAATGTAGGCATTCATTGCTATATACCAAGTACTTCTGAGAATGGTAAAATTGCTGATAAAGCAAGTGGTTATTTTTATCATGGTGAAACAGCTTACAAAGTCTGATAAAAAGCATTCTTGGACAAGCCCAGCAGAATTCCCTTCCTGCCTTTCCAGCAGACCAGCACAGTCACATGCAGATGGAGAGCACTTACAGAAGCTATTGGGACTGCACTTCAGAGTCTCAGTGAGGGCTTGGCAGTAAATGTAGACCCCCTTTAGCTTTTCCACCTTGACAGTCCTACTGTGTTGCACTTAATTTTCTATTGACACTGGGGACCAGAGGAGGAAACTAAGTGATCCTGGGAAAAGTATTTATGAAATTTATAGTTAAAAATTGAGGGGCTTTTAAAATCAATCATTTGCATATTGGGAAACAGGCCTGTTATTGTGGAAGGTGTTGCTAGGAAACCAGTGAAACAAATACAGTCCTAGTCCTGAGAAAAGGGCAGCTTTCAGGGAACCCCTTTAGGAGCAAAAATGGGCAAGATTTCTTCTTGTTTTACTATAATGAGGATGGTGTGTTATCAGTAGCTGCTGTATTTGCCAAGTGAAATACAAAGGACTGTATATTATCAAGCTCAGACAGAAATGGAAGTGCTGCTTACAATGGTAATCCTTTCTCCCTGTTTAAAAATCCCAACGTTATCCCATTTCAATCTGTGACTGCCCATCTATTGTACTGGGACTTCACTGGGGCACTTAGTGACAGGTCTGGGGAAAAGAAATTTATATGTGTGTTACAATTCAAAGCTAAGCTTAATATTGTCGTTTCTCAGTTTTACTGTGAAAAAGATTTGAGGGAAATAACAAACATAACTGAATTTATGTGATACTTTGCTGATAAGTTGATTTTTAAAATTTTTTGCTTTCTTTTCCTGTGTGGTCACATAATGCTGCATCATACACAGGCTGCCTTAGTCAGTGTAATGGGAGTAGCAATTTGCTTATTAGTAGCAGGTTACTAGACCGTGAAAATGTAACTGAAAAAGGAAAAAACCCTTCCACAAAGCTGGTCATATTTCATGCTCACAGAAGCCATAGAACTCTACCTTTCTGCTGCTGTTGAATAACTTCAGAATACTTAGCACTGAAACATATGCCTTGTGTAATATCAAAACCTTGTATAATACCTTAGTTAATCCAGAAATTGGGGTGTTCTTGAAATGTGTTTTTGTTCAGGTCCTGGCACAGCCACTTGGACTTGTATTCAAAACTGCTGCATTAGCTGAATTCCCAGACCCTGACCTGCTTGGGGTTGCTGCCTGGAGGGAGATTTTCAGTGTGTCTTTTCTCAGAAAGGAAAGGGAAAAAACAGAAAAATGTCTCAAATTCTCTGGTGCTGGACACTGATACTGGCGGGACAGTAAGAAAATGGGAGTAGTACTGTTGCTCCAGTGCATTATTCCAGATGTGAACAGGAGGGAAAGCTATAAACAGGAAAATGTATTTTTGTCCACCAACTTTGTACTGCACCAGAATTCTTGGAGTGGGTACAAAATATACTTTATTCCTTGAACACAGCAAAATTAAAATGTGTAGTAGTCTTAAGCTAAAAGAGCAGTATCACTCATCATTTAGTAAAATACCTCTCAAAAGTGGTCTTCAAAAAGAAGAAATAACTGAAGGGATTTTGTCATTTGTAGCAAGGGATTTTAAAAGATTTTTCCCTTCGTACTATGAGTCATATGAAAAAAATGTCTCAACAAAAAAAAATCAATGGGCAGTACATTTTATATTCAAATTTAACTTTTCAAAATAGCTAGAGAAATAACATTGAATTCACTGAGTGTTTTGGGATTTGGAAAAATCTTCTGTAAAATCAGAGCAATAGAAAGTAAAACAAAATTAAATGGCTTCTTCCAGGCTCACTTTTTAAAAATTATATGTAAACAGATGCTCTTTTACATACTGTTTGTTAAACTTGCAGAACTAAAATCTTAATAACCATTATAGTTCAGACTGAAAGCTAAAGCTTTTCTACTTTGCCCTGTAGAAGAACATCAACAGAGTGAAAAACTGACATTGCTTCTTTCAGCACGTGACTTAGATGAGAAAATTAAGGAAATGCAGAGCAAATCAGCAACTGAAATTCTTCAAAGAAACAAACATTAAGTAGTAGACTAGCGGGTTATGTAAGAAGGAACAAAAACATAAATGTACCACAGGTCTAGAACGAAGAAAAATGCAAAAGCTTTTTTGTTTTGCTGTTTTTCTGCTTTGCATTTCATGGCCACGTACGTGTTCCAGGTTAGAACCCAACTGGAAGTGTTGGGTGTGAGGCAGCTCTGATGGTGTTGGGATAATGGTGCTTCAGTTCCCATGTGCAGCAGAGTTCCTCCGCAGCCATTAACACTTTCTGTGGGACTGGTACCAGCTCAGCTTTTGTTTGTAATTTAAAATGTGCCACGGATGAGTCATCCATTACTGGCTTCAGCCAGTCTTGTGCCTGTCCTCGCATCCTTCCTTTGCAGCATGGTAAAATTAGGAAAAATTCTGGCTTTTCATCAGTATGCTGACCTGGCTTTCTACTTTCTCATTCTTTGTGTAGTGAAGGTTTGGCATCAGGGGCTTTTTCCATCAGATTTGGTCTTTTCTCCATAACAACGAGGAAAAGAATGTTGCTGTGTTTGTTTGAGCTATGTAAAGCGTAGGAAAAACTCACAGTAAAAGAACACAAAACAATTTCCCAATCCCTTGGATACCAGCTGTGTAATTGTATAGGTAATAGTTACTTGGCCTTTTATGGATTTTATTATTACCTAAGAAATTTATACACAAATTATTTTGGAGATGGGAAATTAAACTAGGAAAAAGTGCGAAGGTTAACTTGCTATGTGTATTTCAGTGCTGTCATCTATCTGCCTGCAATATCTTTCCTACCATGCAGTGTGCAGAGCAATGTGCAAAAATAGATTCATTTACCTATGCATGAATTTTAGCAATCAACAGTTAAACATGATTCAGATGTTTAAGAATGCCTCAATCCACAAGTATGCTGAAATTAAATGGATTTTAAGCCTTGCATTGTTTTTGTCCCCAGGGTAAAACATCAAGTGGAATACTTGGGTCTGAAAGAAAATATTCGAGTCAGAAGAGCTGGCTATGCCTACAGACGGGTTTTCAAGAAGTTTCTGCAGAGGTAAGTAACGCTTCTTTAGAAGAATTGCTGCAAACAACAGCAGGGCTGTTTACATGATGAGGAGGGAACCAAGAGGTTGCCAGTTTTGGAACCTTCTCATTCCCACGTAGCCATTTCTCACACAGAGATTTCAAAGTGCTTTAAAGCCTGGCTTTGTGTTACTGAAAGTACTTCATCTTTTCTGTAAACTTACCTAAAGCCTCAGTATTTGTAGTGCTGTGAGAGGGTTCCTCAAAGTTACAAAGAGTTCAAGGAACCACTGCAGTGCCTGAAATCTGAGTGTTCAGCTGCAAGCTCTTGTCTAAAACGTTACTGCTCCAGCTCTCCCAGCTCTCCCCACGGCAGACAGAAGACAGGTAAAGAAATCCACGCCTGCCAATCAGCCATTGCAGTGTAAAGAGTAACCTCAGCTTACAGTGCTCCTTATCCTTCCACTGGTGTTCCAACAGCTGGGAATGGGCACAGCTGAAACCTCTGCAGCTGCTCAGTGAATGAATGAAAGCAAGTCAGAGCTCTGGAAGATCAATCCTGTTTTCGGTGTCTTAGGACCAGCTGTTAACATGATTAACTACCTCCACTAGCTAATGAAATTCTCTTAAATAAGAGCAGTTTCAAGATTTATACAACATTCAACTTCTGTTTTTCAGAAACTGGGGACATAGAGCTAGTAAGTGCCCAAACAGGCTTTATGTGATAAATTGACTTTTGTTGGAAGTCATTGCATTGAACTTGAGTATCAAACGAAATCCCAGTCGGTTTTTGCAAGGAGTGGAGTATAGTTAATCAGACAGCACAGAACAAAGCCATTAGTAATACTGCATGATAATACCAAGAATATTCCAATAATGTAGTAACAGTCAGACGTACAGTCTCTGAAAGTGTGAACTTAATTTTCATTATGGAATGATTTTAAATTCCTTTTTCTTCATGACCTTTAAGTCCAGACGTATAAACATGAATATGCTACAGGCTGTGTTACTTAACACATACTGTTGCTGAGACAAACAACAGATTTGTGCTGTGCTAAATCTAGCCTGAACACAGACTGTGAGGGCTGGGCAGGCCCTGCACAAAGGAAAAAGCTACCTGGTACTTCTGTATCCGCAGGCAATTGAAACTCCTCTTAAGGAATTCATCCTTTTGTTTCAGATTAATTAGCTTTGTTAAATTTAACATTTTGTTATGAGTAAAACTCTTCCTGCACCCTTTCCATTCACAGTTCCTAGCATCCAGAACAAGCTCTGTTCTGACCCCCTGAGTCAGTGTGAGTAAAAGCGGCCTGAGGCATGGGATGCACAGGAAATGCATGCTTGTACACTTGTTTTCATTGGGCGTTCCTTGGCAGCTCCATGCAAGTGGAGATTGCTGGGCTGAATAGACTTTTATGTACAAAATTTACATTTGCATGCAAAAAGCCACAGTCACTGAAAAGGTCTGTGTGTTCCCAAGCATAACCAAACTGAAAGCTGAGCTCCCTGTTTAGCCATCAGACCTAACTGCTTACTGGGAGTTTGCAGTACCTATCTGGAGGGCAGTCATGATTGGAAATTGTTTCAGAAGCATGTTAAGAGCACATTTAGTACTTGTGCTGAAATCATCTGCAAGATCAAATTACAAAAGCTTAACAAACCTGGATTCATGGATGGTGACATGACTGGTTTCATGGGAAGCTGCACGAGGTGCCGTTGCTAAAGAGCAGTGAACAGTGAGACTTGTCATGTTACCAAACTGTGAAATGCTTAAATAGTGCATATTATAGAATGATCTGTTTGTTCTGCCCTGTAGACTTGTTGCGCCAGTAAAATGTATGAAGTTAATTGATGAAAAAGGAGAATTTCAAATACATTCTTCCTTTGTACCCAAGAGCTCTATGTATATTAAAAGGTCTTGAATCATGTTTTTCCCTGTGCCCTCCTTTACAGCTCAGGAGATATAGGAGAGAATTTGTAGCATGCTGAAATGTCATGTCACAGTCTCTTGTGTGGAAGGGAGCAGTTTGGAACACCTTTATTCACCTCAGCTCCTTTAACTTCAGTTACCTTGGTTAGACCCACCTACACAGCTGCACTGTTGATGAGCTTGCAAAAGAGGCTGGTTAGTAAAGGAGTTTGGAGTTTATTTAAGTTATAACTCTTTACTGGGTTGCATCTATTTATCCCATAATACTGATAATTCACATAAATATGTAAGTGCACACATTGCCTAAAGGCAGATTGTGTATAATACACTGCTATATTTAAGGTGTAAGAGCTACTTCATTACACCTTCCAGCAGAGTACCTGAGTACTTGTTAACTGAGAGATTTGAACGTGAGAACATCAGTGGTTTGAATCCTATTGAATTATTCAGAAGCTATTCTCTTCTCATACACCTTCTATTCAAAGGTGTTTGGGTTTTGTGATACATTTCTTTTTAAGTGTTTGCTATTTCTGTTTGTGTGGTATTGTTACTTAAATTGCATGACAGTGTTCGTGCTTCTTGGCTGGATAACATTTTAGATATGATGATAACAGGTAATCAACATTCCTTTAATCTATTTTCCAGTGATTCCTTATCTGTTTTTTGAGAACATTTTATTAGGAGCTGCCTAAATCATCTTAAGAACTTGGGAATTACAACAAACCGACCTCCATACTTGATCACTTTTTTCATGTGTTGAATACTTTTACTAATAAGCATGATTTAGTTTACATAACTTAAGTATGCCTAAGGCATAGGAAATTGTCAAGAATAAAGAATATAAGATTTTGGGGAGAAATTTGCCTCAACATATTTAACTGTTCTCCAGTCTTCTTGTCAGAGGAGCCTAAACAGCTGCTTCCAGAGAAGTTACCCACAGAGATGCTGGGGCAGCTGAAGCCCATCAGTGCTCCTTTGGTGGGCAGTGGAACAAGGCAGCTTTGTACCTCCAGCCCGGCAGTTCCAAAAGCCCGAGTGAAACCTGGAAAAGTGGGCAGTTACAAGGGGCTGCAAGCTGGCACCTACTTCATTCTCAAGGCTTACAGAGGACACCATGAGAGAGAAGGCTACGTGCTTCTTTCTGTCAAAGACAAGTTAGAGCACTTCCCTGCTCCTTCCAGGCCCTCTGTGGGGTCAGTTCCCAGCGTGCCCTCAAGGTAGCACCAATATCGCTGTTGACTCCTTCCTGCACCAGAGGCTTCCTGGGATGGAGCCAGGAATGGCTCCTTGCTAAATGCAGCCCAGCTCTTGAGCTGGTGGGTTAGGAGCACAAGCTGGTCACTTGCTCAGAAACTGAAAAGACCTTTGTAAGAATAAGAGTGAGAAGGCTTGAGTGAGAAATTGGACGTGTGCTTGAGAATCAGTGTAGAATACCAAGGATGTAGGTACTCAAATCTGGACCATAAGGTCACTGCTGGTGAATAACCTCAGCCTGGATTTAAGCAGATTCCAGCACAACTTTCTGCAGTGAACTGCTGCAATTACCAGACAGCAACTTAGCATCTGCAAATGGGAGACTCTGGGGCATTGTTGTCCTTTTCAGTTGTTTGGTCTCACTAAACAAGAAACATCTTAATACTTAATCTTCACACACACCAGGCTCTTGAGTCATTGTCAACCTCCCCCAGGGTAGTGCTGGCCAAGAGTCAATGGTGTTCTGCTGCTGCTGTTTGACCCCAGGTTTTAATCTCTTCTCCTTGGTGGTTAAGGTATGCCATTCTGACCAAAGCAACCTGGCCCTCATGGAAAGGAGAAGAGAAGCAAGGAGTCCTCCACCTGCTTCAGTCAGTCAACATGGATCCTGACCAGTACCAGCTCGGGAAGTCCAAAGTCTTCATCAAAGCTCCAGAGTCTGTAAGTGTGCCAGAAAACAATTCTTTAAATGTGCAACTCTTTGCTGAAATTAAACTTCTGCCCCCTCAAGTTGAGCATGATACCTGCTCAGGTGAGGCAAGTGTATAAAAGTCTAAGACAAGCTGAGCACCTCTATCATAAAGGCTGTGCAAAGACCACACTACATAAGGCCATTACAGGGTTTTGGCACTTAATACACTTAATATAAAGATAATTAAATGCATCAAGAAGAAGAAAAATGGGTTATGAAGATGCTTTGGTATCAAGAACATTGGTCCTCTTGTAACAAGAACTACTGATGAAGGTAGAGTAGTCCCAAGGGATGGTAAGGATATGTTACACAGTATGGAGTAAATCAGTGTTCCAAAATGACTGCAACTTGAAATCCCAAAGAGAATATTAGGGAGGCATCACAAGGCTAGTTTTATCCCGTGACTACTAAATTGTGCAAAATCTGTTGGAAAAGAGTTTTCTTACTTTGCTATTCAAAAAAGTTGTTTAAGGAAAATCTGTGCTCTACTCAGGCTCATGTATTCCTGATACAATGGGGCTTAGTTTGTGTAGCACATCTTGAGGTTGAGCATTGATTTCTTGGTGCTTTGTCTGAAGTTACATGCTAAAATAAAAGCTGAACACTTCCCTGGCTATCATTTGCTGTTCCAGGAACATATGTTTTCCTCTGTAGAACAAAAATTCAGCCAATGACACTGCTTTGTCCAATCACATGGGAAGATACTTGCTAAAGGCAAAAAAGGAATGCTTCTCCAAGTCATAATAGAAATTTTCTTGTTTCTACCATAAAGAGGGTAAGATATTGTTCAGGAATAATGGGATTTGCATTCCTGCCTACATCTGAGAGACATGCTTATACACCACAGCATATAGTGCTTGAGATGTTGGTTATTACAATACTTCAGGTGGCATATTGGCAGAGCAGAAAACTAATATGGGATTGATCCTACTTGGTCATGGCAACAACAGCCAACCAGTTCTGAGGGAGTGTGAGCTTTACCTGCTTCCTCTGGAACACAGCTGTGATTTCTTTCTGGAGATTATTTGGAGTTTTGTCTTATGAAGTTGGTGTGATTTCCTGGTGTCTGTCTTTTGTTCAGTAGCCAAGTGGCAAGTGCTGCCATGGGATTGATGGATCCAGTTCCCCTTCAGTCAGTTAATGATCTGTACTCCAGCTGGTTCTTTTGAGAGGACAGCATTGTTGCTCAGTGGAAGCATCTTCCCATCCTGATGCATTTTTGTGATGCTAAGTCCTGCTTGCATGGATATGCCCTTTAATGGTGTATCTGTGAGTTTTACTGAAGGGCAGTTCTGCAGGTTAGGACAACAAAGTTGACGGGAAATTATTTTTGGGGCTCTGTTTTAATTTTAATTTAAATTAATGCTTTCAATTATTGTATGTGTTTTTTACCTTTTTTTTAATGTCATGAAATCTCTTTTTAAATAAGTACCAAAATGAGTATGGGCTTTTTTTATTTTATGTTGAAAGTGTTTTTATGAACTGAATATTTTAAAGAGTGATTTATCTTTTATTAAGAAAGGCAATCATCTTTTATCTTATACTACTAAAGTACTGGCTATGATTGTATTGCTTATGAGAAAAATAATCTTTTAGATGGTAAATGAAATTTTTTCCTTCTTCCACCAAAAAGAACACCTTTTGTGGTTAAAGATGCAAAATACTTGATTTGCTTGAGAGTGTAAGAGGAGGTTTTATAATACATATTTTAGGAAAGGGTTTATCCAGTATCTTTATTTCTGTAGCTTAAGAACTCTATTTTAGCTCAGTTATTTAGTTGAACTTGCTTAATAGTGACCTTCAGCTGCAGATGATAGATTATTTTGCACTGAGATTTTGCAATTAACATTATTGTTAGAGAAATAAATGATGAGAGACAGCATCAATATTGTCACTGTAACCTGAATTGCACAAGGGCTTGGTCTTGCCCCTGCTGCAGCTGAGGATGTTTTTGCATCAGGAGCTCTCATGCCTGTGCTGAAACGTGAGTGAGTGCTTGTGTTCAGGAAGAGATTTTAAATTTTTTTTAAATAAGTTTGCTGTAGATGGAGAATTGCCAACTGTGAAATAAGGTTTTATGGGTGGCAGAAAGGCTTCATTATTTACATTTCCATCCCACACCTGAATAAATAACTCTGTACAGGAGCAAGTGAGGTTTTGTGGAAATGGATTGCACCAGATCGAATTTCTTTTTTCAGATCAATATGAACAACAGTGTTTTTCTAGATTTGCATGGTTTAGAGCAGCAAAGTAAAAAAAAAATAAAAATCCTAAACTCCAGGTTTGCTTCTCCATATACTCATTTTTACTAATTTTATCTCTTGAAAGCTAGAAGAAAACTGTGAATATTGTGAGTATTTAATGCACAATGCAGGGAAATAATAAGCAACAGTCATGTCTGTGGACTGATTAAATGCTGTAGTTTAGCCAAATGCTTGTGCTCTTTGTAAGACAAAAGCCCCATCTAACTGAAGTATGCAAAAGGCTATAGTGAATATGCTGCCTCCTACAATAATTATGAAATTGTTCTAATGCATTACATTTACATGTATTTTAATAGGACCTGGGAAATTCTCAAAAAAGGGGATGCACCTTCCATTCCTGTTTTAATAAAAAAGTATTGTCTCTTGATTTCTAACATTTTAGACCCAAAAATCTTACAATGTCATACTTGTGAATTAGGTCATAGTTACAAGTCCTGCAGACAGCTGACAACTTTCAGTGGTGAGAGACAGTGGACAGGGTGGGTATGAAATTCAGCCAGGGGAAGTAGTTGCTTGTGAACAGTTGTGTTACACGTTGCACAGATCCCCACAGACGTGGTAACATTCTGACAAGAGAAGTAGGAATTTTGGAGAATGTGTGGCTGAAGGCTGAAGAAATGGAGAGTGGAGAACCTTGTGTTGCACCAGTAGAGTATTTCAGGGAGAATCCATATTTCTTTCCTTTTCCTTCATCATGGGGTGTGGAACATAATGGGTAGATTGGTAAGAGCCACAGCCACTCAAACATCAGAGATTGCTTCCAGAAAGGCTGCCTTAACATTCCAGTCTCAGATCCCACAGCTGGGGAAGAGGCACCAGCTTGGATCTAGAGTGAAATACACTGGAGAGTTGTCGTAAGTAAAATTCAGATTTTCTTCACTGTCTCTTTGTACAGCTGTTTCTGTTAGAAGAAATGAGAGAGAGGAAGTATGATGGGTATGCCAGGGCCATCCAGAAGGCCTGGAGGAAGTACGCTGCCAGGAAAAAATACGTGCAGATGAGAGAAGAAGGTAGGTCAGAACTTCTGATGGCAGGGCCTTCACACACACATGGCTCCTGGAGCACAAATGGGGACACAAAGGGGAAGGAAATCTCTCCCTCTCTGTAGGTTAAAGTTGCGTTGCAGGTATGATGCAGGTATCTCGGAATGATTGCACTTTGTTGGACCCTTACAGTACCACTGATGAGATTGACTGTTGTGCATTCACAAATCTCTTGGACTGCCCCGTGTTTTACTCTCAGATCAAAGCCAGACTGAGTAGGACAGACAGCAGACAAAAAAACCCCAACTTCCCACAGTTGTGCAGAATCTGAATAATCTGTAGGTGATAAGATCAATCCATGGACTCTTTTGGGACTTAGTTGTATGTGACCTGGGCTGTGTGAATAATCATGCTAGGTTTGGAAGGGTTAATCCTTAATCTCTAGCAGTGAATGAGCAACTTCTTAGTTCCAGAGATGCTCCCAATTAGCCACAACTACTGAGATTGCCATCAGTGTATTTCATTAGGAATGGATTTAATGATAATAGATATCCTTATCTAAATGATTAGCAGCAGTGCTTCACTGTTTTTCCATATTAGAAACAATTTGGTTATCACTTCTCAAGAAATTCTGTGTGCAACAGTGCTCTTTGAGAGCATGGGTTTAAGAAATTTCTTAGATGCAATTAATCAATGTTTATGTTTTGTATTTAAGCATCAGATCTGTTGCTGAACAAGAAGGAGAGAAGACGGAACAGCATCAACAGGAATTTTGTGGGAGATTACATAGGCATGGAGGACCACCCCGAGCTCCGCCAGTTTGTGGGCAAGCGGGAGAAGATCGACTTTGCAGACACTGTAACTAAATATGACAGACGGTTTAAGGTGGGTGGAACAGCAACATCCCCTAAAGACGAGTTCTGCTGCGAGTCAGAGTTGTCTTCATCATCCTGTCCCAGGACCTGCCCAGCTCAGGGTCACAGCACACAGGACACGGCTGTGTATTTTCCATGTTGTGTTTCAGAGCGTGAAGCGAGATCTCATCCTCACTCCCAAGTGCATTTACCTGATTGGGCGTGAGAAGATAAAGCAGGGCCCAGAGAAGGGCCAGGTGAAGGAGGTCTTGAAGCGAAGGATAGAAGTGGAGAGAATTCTGTCTGTTTCTTTAAGGTCAGTACCTGGAATATATTTTTTACATTGACAGAGCAGTTTGTGTAGGACAGGGAAAATAAGTTGATGGATGAAGTGGGAATTGGATGCTTTCCTTTTGAACTTGCTTGCTTTGGGTTTCAGACTTGCTTCAGTAACCTTCAAATTTCCAATTTATCTCTTGTCACAAAGTCTGCCATTATTGAAGAGAAGAATTATAGTTGTAACTTTAATAGCACATAGTTTTTTGCTAACAGTAATTACTGTAAAATGACTAAGTAGTATTGTTTCAGCTATTCCATTATCAACTTCAGAAAAAACGCAAACCGTTCTCGGAAAGCAAGGCTCTGTAATCAATGGTGCTTGGACTTTGTTATATTTTTTAAAATTAACCATGAGTACTCTGCAAATGTCATTATAATGCTGGCTGTATTTACTGATGACATTTTAAACTGGATGGTGTATGCTCTCATTTCCTTGCAGCACCATGCAGGATGACATTTTCATTCTACATGAACAGGAATATGATAGTTTGCTCGAATCAGTCTTCAAAACGGAGTTTTTAAGCCTCTTATCTAAACGATATGAAGAGAAAACACAAAGAACACTACCTCTGAAATTTAGCAATACGTGAGTTATGGCTTTTTTCAGTGGGCTTTTAGGGATAAATGTTTTATTCTTGCTGCCAAGGCAAATGAGTGAGTCTAAGTTGTATTTCATTTACAGTAACAGGAGGTAGCACAGTGTGAAAACCCTGAATGTGCAAGAAGACCAGACTTTGTGCTTGCCAAGTTAGGATTTACCAGGGCCATTTGACACTTCCCACTGCACGTGTCCATGGAGGGCTGCCTTTGTTCTCCTAACCATGGACCAGGGCAGGGCCTCTGCACAGCTGCTGCTGGCTCCTGGCAGGAGCAGGGAGCATCCTCTGCTCCCTCCTTCACCTTCACCTAGGAGTGCAGACATCTCAATGAAGAGTTTGAAAGAGTTCTGGGCACATAATGTAGCAGTCTGAAATGCTGAAGTTTGTTGTGGGTGCAGGGGACTGCAGGGTGAAAGAATAATTCTAAGGAGTCCTCACTTAAATAAATGATATTGGGAACATTTTTTAGAAACAAGCATGAAAACCTAGAGCATGTCTGATGTGCAGTTTGGCTGTGAGGACATCCTGGAAACAATCCCAGCAAACCTGTGCTTTCATTAATACTTCCACCCCTTAAGGAGATCAGCAACAGCAGGCCAGCAGAGGCACTGGTGGCTCAGGGCTGACACATCTCCTATTTGGACCTTTGCACATTTTTGTTCAAAGCTCCCTGTCCTCTCCAGGGCATCTTAAACTTCCTTTGAGAAGCTGTACCAGGAAAGTTAAAATGTCCATTAAGAAGAACATTTCTTTTAAAAGAAAAGAGGTGGTTATGTTGGCTGGGTCACTCATGGAATGCAGATTCTCAGTCTAAGCTTTTAATTTTATATTTCTAAATTATCTACTGCAATACTGCCTTGATTTGATGTAGCAACTGGATTTTTCATTTGTGTGTTCACACGCTTCTGTCAGACTTGAAGTGAAGCTGAAGAAGGAGAGCTGGGGGCCCTGGAGCAGTGCTGGTTCTCGACAGGTGCAGTTTATGCAAGGCCAAGGAGATGTAGCCATTCTCAAACCAAGTAATAAAGTGCTGCAGATCAGCATTGGACCAGGGCTACCAAAGAATTCCCGTAAGTATGAATTTCCTCTAGAAATTAGGGGTTTATAAAATCAGAGAATGGTTGACTTTATCAATGCTTTGCTGTAGCCTCACCATTTTCTTTATTAATTTCTCTGTAACACACAAAGATCCTAAGGATACAACAGAGTTCCTTGCTGCTCTACAGCTGTGAGTGTTCTGGGCCTTGTTTACTGTAGTTGCAAGGCTTTGCTTTATATCCTGAGGCTGAACTGGATCACAAAAGGGAGAATATCCCCAGATCATCCTTTTTGCACCTAATGCTTTATAACAACCTGGCGAACCCTGCAGGAGTCAGATTCCTTATTCCTGAAGCTCAGCTCTTTCTGATCACAGAACAGGGGTCTGGCAGCCAGCAGGCCTTACCCAATTAATGTAATTGTGAAGGTGTAACAGAATATTGCTGGTTTCTTCTAGGTCCTACTAGACGGAACCTTACCCAAGTCAGAGGATATTCCAGTAGGTCTCAAAATCAGACTTATCCTATGAGAGCTGCACCACCTCCTCCAGGTAAGTCCTCTTAGCTTGGGCAAAACAGAATTTCAAATGAAGGCTTTTGGTTTTCTCGCAATTTTTACCCATTAAAAAAATTACAGTAACAGTTTAAATTTCTCTTCAAAAGATCCTGTCTGGAAAGCATCTGTTTGTAGGCATTTTATGAAGTGTCTTGCTAGATATTCCCCTGGAGCTGTCCTGCTTGACTTGGATGGTGACTTGTTCAGACACTTGGTATAAAGCCACAGAATCTAAACCTGACCCTGTAGCCTTCTCCACTGTGAAGGATACAAGCTCTGTGCTTGTCAAGCCATAGACAATGCTTTGCAGTAGAACTGCTTTCAGGGCCAGCACAGCACAGAATGCAATTTGTGTCTCACTGTCCTGCCCTGTCAGACATGTTACAACTCCTGTGTGCCCAGGTGCTGGGACACAGCAGTTGTGCCAGTGAACGGCATGGCTCTTTCTGCCATCAGGGGACTGATGTCATCAGGGTGTTCCACTTCTGCCCTGAGCAGATATGATTAATTTTGCTTGTGAACTCACAGGGGAGAACAATATTCCATTGACCCAGCATTTCCCAAGAGGTTTTTTTTTACCTTATACTTGCAGAGTATTTTCTTTTTAACAAAGAGTCCTCTTTCAGTCAGCTGCTGTTTATTGAGAAGCACAATGCTGATGGTGGAAGTTAGGGGTATGACCAGTCTCCGTCACCAAATTAAATAGACAATTCCAAATCCTCATAGCTGTATGAATCAAACTGAGGACTCTGTCATCTGCCAGAAGTGGGAATGAAGTGAGAAATCACTCTAAGAGCTGACCTGTCAGCAAACAGAGATAGTATTTGTCCAGCATCAGTTAAAGGATAGTCTGGTTTATATATTCAAAAACTGTTTTCAGCAGTTTTATAGCTAAAAGTGTAACTGCTGAAGTTAAGTGCTGTGTTGACCCTCAGGCATTGGGCTATGACATTTAAAAGGTGGGTAGAAGGCCTTCCTACAAACCTCTCTGTAGGTTACTGTAACATGGCTTTTTGTTTAGCTGGTTGGTTTTTGAATTTTAAACTCTCTTGGAAAGTAGAGATTTGTTTTTCTACACATCCTGGAAAAACAAAATTGCAGACAGGTGTTACAAAAGAGGTCCCGTTAAAATGTCCAGACTTCCAAGGAGTTTGAAGCCATGTTATGATTTGGGCAAATTCCTCTTTGAAAGTCCCAAACAATTACCTGGCTTCTGCTATTTTCACATCTTGTTTTGAAATCAGTAGTGCAGTAGCTAAACAGAGTGTTCAGTACAAGTTCAGAATAACCCAAACCTTTGTTTATTAATCACCATAATGTATATGCCGTGCTGGCTTGCATTGCAGAGTGGGGTTTGCACAGGAGTTTATGACCCTTCAGTTCTGCCACAGTACCCAGAGAACATCAAAGCAGAGAGCAGCTGTTACAGGCAGTAGGGTTTTCCCAGGTGCTGTGATCATGAATTCTCCTCTCTGCACAGCTGTTCTTCTGCTAATGTTCAGCATAATCACAATGGCAGAGGAGAGGGTCACCCATATAATTGAGGAAACTGATTTTTAATAGAAGCATAGCTCTCCTCTTGTTCCATAAGAGTTTTAGGAATGTAAAGCACGCAGACTTGAACTCTTTAGGCCCTAATTCTGCAAGTAGCTCAGACATGGGTGGGTTTGCTTTAAATTCAAGTTACAGGCATAAATATTTATTTAAAGGCACATACCCATGTCAGTCCTAGAAAATTCAAACTCCTTTTCAACTATCAAAATAGCATCAAGGCATGTTTTTTAAACAAAACAATTAAAAAGCCCAAACAATCCCTACCAGCATGCTTGTTAAAATAGACAAGTATTTATAGTGACTTAATAAAAACAGTCAAATTCCTTGAGTATGTGGTAGACTGAGTTTGAACTTCAAAAGAAAAAGAAGAAATTCTGGCTAGCTTTTGATTAACCCTTATCTGGATAAAATGTTGTGCAGTGTTTTAGAGAGGAGTTGGTGGTACCATGTTAGATAAACTGGAACTCAGCTGAGACCTAATCCTTGTACTTGCTTGGAACACCCAGGCACACGTCTTAAACCTTAAACACTAGAAACTGGGTATAAATCAACATTTCAACATGATTTTGGTTTTGGTTTCCTTGATAGGTGAGGCTCTCTGACAGCTAAGCCATCAAAGGTTACCTTTACTGAGCTGGAGTTTGGACTGCATGCACTCACTCTTTATTTACTTCTAGGTCAGCAGCAAAATGGAGTAATAAATCCCCCCCAGTCTGCAGCCCATCCCCAGACCCCAGGAAATCAATGGGCCAATCAGAAGAACCTTTACACAAGTATGACACGGCCAGCTTTACCACGGCAAATGTCAGGAGGATCAGGCAAGATTTCACAGCAACCACAAAGCTTGGATTTCTTGAAAGTACCTGACCAAGGAGCAGCTGGGTAAGATTTTACGTTGAATCTGATTAAAAGATGTCAATTTTTATAAATAGTTTTTTTACACACTCAAACTGTTCATGACTGATAGACTCTGTGCCTCAGTCACCAGGTTGTGCTGTTGAGCTGTACTCAAAGGTACCATCCATTCCATCAGATTCCAAAACATAACTCCATCCTAGACCCGTAGGAATAAAGGTGAAGCAGTTCTGGTTTAATATCTTAAATTTGGATTTTGAAGGCCTTAAAAAAGTAGAAGGTTTTTCAGTGATCCAACAGTTTCTTCTTTAACTCAGCTCTTACTCCACTCTCTTGCAGAACATTAATGGAGTTTTACTGTACTGGGAATCTTTGAGTGTCACTTAATTGTCAAAGACTGCTGCCTATTCAGCAGTTCTAGGACAAAAAAATAAAGAATTTAGTTTAGAAGTAGTTTGCTGATGACTCCTGTGATCTGCATGAATGGAAGTTCTTGGAGCCAGCAAAAGTATATTTATTTGTAACCATATCAAGAGCAACTTTTTGTACAAGCAGCCCTGTCTCAACTGTCAGTCAGCAGACAAGCTCCTTATTGCAGATGCTCTGCACTAATTTACCCTGTTGGCCTAAGCATTCTTTTGCTGTGTGATCCAACAGGCAGATTATTAAGAGGATTAGTTACAATGTTAGTGAGCATTACACATCTCACAGTTACGAAATAGTAACATAAATGTGCACAATTGATAGATTTTTGAGAATTCAGAGTGCACAGGGTTCCTAAGGCGGAGCTTTCTAGTTCCTAAAAATGGAGCCCTTGAGCAGCATTAGGCACGTACAGAGGTCTTTGCAGTTTGTACTAATGGCAGTCATTTTATCCCCAGTGTCAAGTGTCAGCCATAAGAGATTTCAAGGCATATTTAGAGCATTTTTTTGTTTGAGATTAATCTTCAACTAAGAAAGAAATCAGAAGTAGTCACTGCAGCTTATCCTACCACTTGCAAACCCATCAGCACATGCTAACAGGCACATATACATCTTGTAATAACGTCCATGGCTTTTGGTGGTGAAATGTTCTTGTCACATGACAACTTCTTCCTAAACTCTTTTACTAATATTAGACTTTACTTTGTCTTGAGAATACAGTTCATGTAACAATAAAAACACGTAAGCCATAGGATAAAACCAAACATACCAGGTGTTCTGCAGCAGTACCAAACTTAAGGAGGTACTCTTAGGAAAGTGACATTCCCAAGGCTGTGTGAGCATTATGAGCTCCTTTATTAATACACTGAAAACAAACAATGTAACTGTATTCAGCAGTGCATTTCAGACACATTTCTGTGCCTGGTCCTTTTCAAAAGGAAGCTAGAAGAGGTATGAATTTAGTATTTCAAAACCATAGCCATATAGAAGTAGATGTAATTTTTAAGGAGTAGAATTAGGTTTATTTTTAGCAAAGCTGCCAAGAAGGATGCAGTGGTACTAACAATCCAGTACAAGACCAAGATTAAAATCAGCAGGCTCCCCCAAGCACCAAAACATCTCATTTAAAATACTGTAGTTCTATCGTAGCTGCACAAAAGCTGAGTTACTTTCCAAGACTTGTGCTAAATCCCTTCCTTTCCATACGTAGGTCTAGGTTTCACAACGTCTCCTATCCTGAGCAAAGGCAGTAGATGCTGAAGAACAGGAGAAAAATCTCTCTCCTTGTAGATACATTGAGAACTCAAGTGTTGTTATAAATCCATACTTCAAATATTATTTTCTGGTGCAGTTCACTGCAAAGTTAGAGGTTTATTGACAAAATTAAGCATAGGACTTCATTTAAGTGACTGTAACCCTGTTCTGCAGAAGCTCTGTTACATGACATGATCACAGTTCATTCTCTTCCACATCATTACATTTTTAGTCATTCAGCACATATATTATTAATTCTAAACTGACATACTGAGTCTAATACCTGTTCTCTCTTCCAGCCTTTATTAGCTGATGAGCTGGCAAAATGCATTTCTTCCCTCTTTCCCCTTCCTAATCTTTGGAGTGGTCACAGATGTGACAGTTTGTGCAGCATCTCCCCTGCTGCTTCAGAGTTGACTATAAGAGAACAAGTCCATAGATGGCCCTGGAATCTGAGGCAACTTTAAAAGAGATGCGAGTCTCTGTTACAGCTTAGTCACAAGAATGGTAAAGTAGCAAGCCTGTGAGCTAGAATTTTGTTTTTGATACTGAAAATTAAATCACTGGTGACACTGGGGCAAGGGGAGAGACACAGCCTAAGCTGTATAGGTATCGAGATATGCATGAACCGCATGTACACATTTGCTTCCATTTCAGCCTGGGCACTAAATGTCTTATAAGCATTTGAACTGCTGTTGGGAAGTACCTGCTCATCCATTTCCATAGGAAACAAACGGCAGCTCTGTCCCTTCCACGGGGCAGTCTCACACTGCTATTTTTAATAGTTGAGACATTAGAGAAAATCTGTTTTCCCTTGTTCTGTGCCGTTCATTAAAATGAACTCATTAAGCGAGAGGGGTTTGCTCAAGCTCAGGTTTGAGCCGCAAAGCCCACGAGCGCTGCTGTCCGCAGTGTCCGCAGGCAGACGTCGAGCCGCCCGCCGCCGGCCGGAGGGAGGCCCAAGCCGCAGCCCAAGCCCAAGCCGCAGGTGCCGCAGTGCCGCGCGCTCTACGCCTACGACGCGCAGGACACCGACGAGCTCAGCTTCAACGCCAACGACGTCATCGACATCCTCAAGGAAGGTACGGACACACGGTGGCACCTGGGCACTGCTCCTTGAGGGCCATTGCCACAAGGAGTTAGGACAGACTCTCTGAGCCACCACACTTCATCTTCTCTTGCTGGGCTGGAAAATTTCTGTTATGGCTCAGGGGGCAGAGAAACTTCCCAGTCCAACCTCTTCACTCAAGAGCATGTCAGAGACAGACCAAGGAGCTGTCACTGGCTACTGCAGAACTGTACACTTAGTGAGACAGTAATTAGCCTAAATCACAGCTGTAGCACAAGAAGCAAAATGTAATTAACGGGTTCCAAATCAGGGTCTCCAAAGCGCCCTCCTCTAGGCAAAATGATGTGGCCAAAAGATGAACACACACCAAAAATCCTGTCCCGCTCATTCCTTCCCAGAAAGGCTCTCACTGAGTGGCACAGCTTTGTAAGGTTGCACCAAGTAGACAGAAGCGCTTCCCAGAGCCTCACTCCTTACCTTGCTGTCCTTGTTACAGATCCTTCTGGCTGGTGGACTGGAAGACTACGAGGGAAACAAGGTCTGTTTCCCAACAATTATGTCACCAAGATTTAAAAGACTGTCAAGAGAAGAACTTGTGTGAAGGAAGGTACCAGTGGTTGAAGATGTTTTCCCTTACCTTCAGGACATTATTCTTTCAAGGTCTGCCGTTCTCAGCAGTATTTTCACCAGTTAATTGTGTATGAGCAGGAAGAGCTACCCACAGACTACAGTCTTTGTCTCAGCACCATACAGCAATGAACTGACCAATTATTTATTATATTTAAAACCTGGTTTAAACACCTGGTAAGCGAACAATGCTCAACCATACCATCTTCCTGAAACACGTGATTTACAGTCTGGAACCAGGGACTTCGAAAGGGGTGTATTTAATAAGTGCCTTCAGCTGAAAATCAGTAACCTTTTTAATTGTCTACTGAAGATAATGTAAAATGCACATTTCCTCTAATGCAGATCATTCTGGGGAACGTGTTTATGAGTATGCTGCTACATGTCAAAAAGATTTAGGCTCATTTGGGATATTACCATCTGAAAAACTACTGTGATGGTCTATTTAAGTAATTCTGTACAGAGATGTAATGGAACTGGTGTTTGCAGGTGTGTTTAGGGACTCCAACAGGCACTGTAAGAATTAAAAACAGAAAACCACATAGTACTGTATGCTATAATGTTGCCTTCTTCAAGATTTATATTATAATATGGCTGGCCCATGTTGGATTTATGTTTAATACTCTACCTGTTATAGGAAGTGTCTTTATGCAGAGCTGTACATTTATAGAAATAGTTATATACTGTATATAAAAACGTTATGATAGAGACATGTATAAATGTATAATGCAGTAGTCCACTGTTCTTATGAAGTAGTACTGCTAGAATTTTTATGCCAGGTACTTACAGATATGCACTACTCCTCCTTTTAAATAGCAAAAGCACAGGTGTTACTGCCCAAGTCTGATTGCCTCCCCCAGCAGAGTGGCTGTTGTTTGCCCTGCAGTTCTGAGAATTCCTGCTTTGCCTTTTAAACCTCCGTAAAATAAAACATGGGAAGATCAATTGGTTTGTTCTCTGTGAAGTTTGTTCTCACATCTACAAAACATTCCCTTCACAACAATGGCTTCAGGATTTTACTGCACTGACTTCTAAAGAAAGAATCCCTTTCTTCACTCCAAATTATTTTCCCTATGCCCAGATGAAGTGCTATGCATTTCCTTCTCTCATGTTAAAAGCAGTTAAAAAGCCCTGCATATGTTGGTATTAAAAAGTTGCATAAGCTTTAAGATGCAGCTAAAAATCTTGAATCCCTCCCTCCTAAAACTACTGCCTTGAGTCTAACTGAGGTACACAAACTCCATCTTCTATAGAAGCTGTTTCTGGGAGGCAGAAATGAGGACCTCACTCTAAGGGAGGAATAATATCCACACAAGGAATGAAGAACATTTTTCAGAAGACTGTTTGCAGCAAGTGCTAGGCTTACTTATGCCAGGGGAGAGAAAAATCTCCTGCTTGAGGAAAGAAAACCCAGTAGCTTCAACATCCTTCCCACAGGGGAGCACTGAGGTCTAGGGCAATTCTATAGCAGTGGGTTCTTGCCTTCTACACCAGAGCCAGCAAACTCATGAAGAGGAGATGGATGCTCAGCAATCACAAAATAGCTAGGTGGAGTTCAGGATAACCTGGAGACTATTCAAAAGATCTAATTTAACATTACTCATAGAAGATTAATTTAACATAGACATACATGAGGTATTGAGGCAGAAAAGTTGCATCACTTACATGCTTGTATTCCCTGAGCATACAGATACTGACACTTAGATTAGAAACAAAGACAAAAGCAAGCAAAGTGTCCAGGAAGTGACAAGAACTGCCTTTTGCTGGGTTTGACTCTATAATCCCAGGTACAGAGCTTTATTGGAGAAGCAGGGGAAGAAAGAAGATGTGGGCAAGTGAACAGGTAACTAAAAACCCAAGGGGGTTATTTTCAGGAAGTGGAGAAAGTTTCAAGGGCTGAACTGCTTTCAAAAGATCTCATGCCCACAGTTCCACACCTGTATTCCCTGCACAGTTGTCAGCATTACAGGAGACTTCCAGTTTTTCTACCTTAGCTCCCTTTTTTTAAGCACAGAGAGAAACACAAAATTTACAAGGTTAATGCCCGTTAAAGATAGCCTGCATCTTTACCCAAACTTGAAGATGGCTAACTACAAAAATAAATAAATTCCAGTATACCTTCTTGAAACAAGGCACTGAAATAAAGTACATATTTAGTGTTCTTTAAGGTACAACAAAAACAAGCACTATATGCCTCCTCTTTATGTTGAAAGTGAAAATAATAAATATAATGCAATATATAAAGCTTGGAGATTCTCTCTGGAAACAACCACAGAATAATCAAGCCCATTTAACTGCAAGTTGTAACAATTACCTATTTAGCCAAATGTCCCACTCGGACATTACATTGCAAACGTGTAAGTTGTACCTTAAAGAGTCACACTCTCAGTATTTAAAAGAAAGGAGTTTTATTTTTAGATAGAAAGCTGTATTACAAAGCAGATTTAAAATGTCACCTTCTGTGTGAGTCGGAACTGTGTGTGGGAAGCTGGAATGCTATGTACAAAAGCAGAAGACAAACAAAGTGCACACCCCATCAGGCCCTGGCTTCACAGGAGTGATGCAGCCAGATCCTTGATGATCTCACTGTTCAGCTGAGGGATGGTGCTGATGGTCAGTAGTTTGCTGCTTGCATACTTGTTCTTGATAGCCTGCAGAGTAGAGAACAGAGATAAAAGTTTCATGCATTCCCTATTGATGCTCAGGCAGATAATTTTGTGAGTTTGCCTGCCTATTTGGAAAACAAGCAAGCAAACAAGGCTGGCACTGAACCAGTTTGCAAAGTAACAAGAACACAATTTGTCTAAAAGGTTTTGCTGTTAACATTTAATGCAACAGCCTCTCACAGGTTTGTCAGAACAGCTTATGCTTTAAGATAACATACAGAGTATTTATCTAAGGAGCTACAATATGCAGCAAAACTATTTTTAAAACAGTAGTAAAGAAAGGATTTAAGTAGTTATACTTACAGTGTATTTGGTTAACTTCTCATTTACTTTGACTACATTCTTGGCCATATGTTTCATGGTCATCACAAGACTGTCTTCTGCATAGCCAGTGTAGTACTGCTGCTTTGTACCCTGCAGCAAAATGGTAACAAACGTGAGATCTGTGAAGGGGGAGTTGCTGCTTGAGGCACAATCACTCCAGGCAGCAAACAGCCTGAGCTTCATGGCTAAGCCTCAAGTGCTGGAAACTGTCGCTGTCAGTTTAAATGACAGATCCAGAGTAACCCGATGTGCAGAAGTCTGGACACATCAATTTCCAGGGCCATGCTTCTAGACTGAGCAGAGGATAAAAAAGGAATTATCAGCTGAATTACAACTCACTACTCACAGTCCACAACTTCATTATGCTACCTACGTGTACTGCAAGAATTACGAAAATCTACTTTTATTTACAGTTAGTCTTCAATAACTCGATGCTTTAATGAGAAAAAATCCCTTTGCACTCCGATATTCACACAGGAAAGGATTGTGATTTTTTACTGGTACATTCCTTTTTCTACCTGCTACTATGCATCAGGCTTCCCAGCCATCATTTCAGCACCAGCAGATACCAACTAAACTCAATTTTTGAAGTACTATTTTATTGGTTCAATTCCACTGAGTGAAGAAGAACAAGTTTGATTAAAATACTCACCCATTTGTTATGTCCCAGAACCTTCTGAGACAGGCACAGTGCAGCAGCTGCGATCTCTGAAGGCCGGTGGTGAACCATGTCATAGTCTATCAGTGTCAGCTCCATCAGGTATTTCGCTAGAGTGTGCTGCTTAGCATCAGCCTAGCGGGTTGAGAGCTTGTTAATCCACAGTTTCACTTCACTTTAGCATAATCACTCAGAATTGCTTATTGTGTTCAAGAACAAAACAAAAATACCAAAACCTTTACTACAGTGTAAGAACCATCCTTTCTAACAGACACTCCTCTCAAAATCAAGACCAGCAGCCAGCCATTTGGAATTTGGACACAAAGTCAAATGACGAATTTTAACAGAAAACTGCAGTGTCAGGTACTGCTGTGCCCAGCTAGGAACATTAATGCTCCCTATGTAATGCACACTGAGGTAGGGGAACTGTAAAATGACTTAAGGAGAACCTTATTTAAGTTACCCAGTGGTCTGCTGAGGTAATTAAAGCCCACCTCAAGAGTGGACAGTCACTTGAATAGAATTACTGAGGTGGAGAAAAAAAGGGTTGGGTCAAAGAGGAAGCTTATCTTTTGATTCTTAAATAACACAGTATTTACAACCAGAAGTTACAAAGAACTGCAACACTGCTAGTGTTTTACTAGTAAGTACCCTGATCACCAAGATTCAAAAGATTAAAAGACAGGGTTCTTGGTTTAACAGTAAAATTACTGCCATTATGGCTGAACATGGCCGTCAGTAAATAGAAACGTGAAATACTAGTGGGTGCCACAGTGACATTGTCGTGTTACTCCACAAGGTGGAGTTTCAGAGCTGAGCATTTCTTCATCCAGCATTTTAACTAGAGGAGGTTAAGATCACATGATAAAAATGCTAGAAGCAATCCTGATGAGCTTTACCAACACAGGAAAGTGCTAGGTAATGAGGACAAGTACCCACCTCTCCAGCTTTTGATGCTCTTCTTAAGAAGTGAATTGGAAGAGGTCGCCCCAGGTCGAAGTTTAATTCTTTAAGAATAACCATTTCCATTTCTCTAATTTCATTACTAGTGTAGGCATTGTCGGTAATGTAAACAAAGTCTGCTACATCAGGAGACAGAATCTCTTCATATTTTGAAGCTACAAGCAGTGCTGTTACACCCACCAGCTGAAGCTTCTTGCGAGGTACTGGATAACTCTGCAACACAGACATTTAAAATGCAGGTCCTGAAGTGCCAATCCTAGATAATCAGATTCATATTTATCAGTTTAGAATACCAGCATAACAGTGTTCATCCCTGTAAATGAGGTCTTCACTCTAGTCAAAGGTGTCTGTATAATGACAGGCTCAAAGAAGGCAGTGTCAGCCTCAGAGTTAAGATGCTGCACTGTAACTACTCTTACACACAGAGCAGATTTTGTAGATTGTTAGATTTCTAAAGAAAAGTTAAATCCTGAACTCCTTTACCAACACAGTAACTGAATCACTACTGAGCATGACTGGAAGGAGATCTCACCTGTAAGAAGCGATCCATGATGGCCACACACATGTAGAGAGTCTCCTGCAGGAGGCGGAATCTCGAGTGCACCTGGACGAGCCAGTCCACCAGGATGGCGCGCATGCGCCCGTTGGTCGTCCTCCCGTCCAGGTAGTGCGGGCGCACCGACTGCTGCAGCTGTGGGGACAGCAGGGTGAGCAGCCAGGCAACGCCCCTGACACACCAGGCCAGCCCCGGGCCACCCATCTCCTACCTCGAGCTCCCTCAGGTACAGGTAGATGTCTTTTACGTAGTCACTACACAGCTGCGGGTTCTCCCAGTCCTCAGCATCAATGTCTTCTACATTGTTGAGCAACACATCAGAGAAGGCTTGGCACAAATCCTCCTCTTGCATTGATACATCCATAGGGACAGGAGACGCAGGAACCTAAGCAATAGATCGTATCTGTTAACATACGGATTTACTGTTGTTCCTCTGTTTCCATGTTTCACCAGTTACTAATGCAGTTTCTTTAGATGGAAGCTGAAACTAAGCTTGGGCTCCAGCGCAGCAAGTTTTCACTGACATACCACAAACTGAATCCCAAGATCTTCTAGTAATTGCCAGCTAAAACAGAAACTTCATCCAGTACTTCAACAGCTCATTCTGCCACTTGAATGTCAGCCTTAAGTACAACATGCATTAAACCAAAACCTCAGTGCAGAGGCTTGGCTTTTTCGGCAGGGGAATGAGATACAGCCACAGATCAACTATTGTGAAGGTAGAGCTCAAAGTTGCAAATCAAATTAAAAACCAGAACAGTATCATCGCTTCCTACCT